GGAGACTTTTAGTCTGAGGGAAAACCCAGATGTTTGTGGCTTCCTAACCTGACAGCTCATCAGTGGGAATGGTTAGAATGTGTTCTGGCTAGTTTTATGTCAGCTTGACACAGGCTAGAGTAATCTGAGGAGAGACCCTCAATTGAGAAAGTGCCTCCATCCATATGATTGGGCTGTAGGCAAGCTTGTAGGGTGTCTTCTTAGAGATTGATCAGGGAGGGTCCAGCCTTTTGTGGGTGGTGCCATCCCTGGACCAGTGGTTCTGTAAGTAAACAGACTGAGCAAGCAAGTAAGCAGCATCCCTCCATGACCTTGCATCAGCTTCTGCCTCCAGGTTTTTGCCCTCGAGTTCCTGCCTTGGTTTCCTTCAGGGGACTGTGACTCAAGATAATGTAATTCAAATAAATCCCTCCTTCCCAAGTTGCTTTTGGTAATGGTGTTTCACCACAGCAGCAATAACCCTAACTAAGACAGAGTGCTAGAGTTCTTTGGTCAGACTTTATGTTAAGGGAGGGAGGTAGCAAAGCAGTCCCATTGGCACATGTAGGTTAATGGCGAATGGAGAAAAGGGTGTGTTTCTTCTAAGGAGGAAAGGATGGGGATTTGGCAGGAGAGAAGTGGAAAGCAGCAGTTTTCTGGGGTCAGGACTTAATTAAACTCCCATTTTTGTTACTTACACCTTTGGTGTATTTATTATTAGAAATTAAAATAGAAATATTAAAATATTAACAGCTACAACAGCAGGTTTCATTGATGTTTGTTCTGTCTTTGCTTCTGTACTTTGATTTTTAAAAATCTTTTATTTCTGTATTTTATGTGTAGGTTTTGTCTCTGTGTATGTCTGCATCATATGCTTGTTTGGTTCTGGTGGAGGCCAGAAGAGGGTGTTATCTTTCCTGGAACTGGAATTAGAGATGGTTATTAACCACTATGTGGGTGCTGGGAATTGAACCTGGGTCCTGGAAGATCTGCCATGCTCTTAATCTGTGAGCCATCTCTCCAGCCCAGTTGTTTGATGCTTTAATTGAAGTAATGTGAACAAAACTCAACCTCAGATATCTGGTTGAAAAAGAAATTTTTGTTGTGTTTTGTTTTTGTTTTTCAAGACAGGGTTTTTCAGTGTAACAGCTCTGGCTGTCCTGGAAATCACTTTGTAGACCAGGCTGGCCTTGAGCTCACAAGATCCACCTGCCTCTGTCTGCCTCCTGAGTGCTAAGACTAAAAGCATGTGCCACCACCGCCTGGCTGGAAAAGAAATATTTTAAATAGCAATAGCCACTTTAGATAATTGGGATCTCCATGCCCTTAATGCTGGGAACTGAACCTAGGATCTCAAGCATGCTATGCAAGTGTTCTTTTCACTGAGCTGTTTTCCCAGCTTGTGAGTGTGTGTGTGTGTGTGTGTGTGTGTGTGTATGTATGTATGTATGTGTGTATGTGATATTTTACAAAAACTTGACCTATTCTTGCATGGTATTTCAGCATCATGCCTTGATCATTGAGAAAATATTTGGTTGATGTATCTTACAAACATTAATAAATTTCACTATACAACATGAAAATCTAATTTTACCACCAGTCTTGTCAGGATGCTCTGTGAAACTTCATACTTACACTAGTGGATAAGTGTTCCAAGGTTTGAATGTTTCTCTCTAAAATTTGACTTCATTATTGGTGAAATGTATTGTTCTGTTTTGGAAATGACACATCTTCTAAAGAGCCAAGTTGGAATAAGCCTTGGATTTTTCAAATAAAAGTGGTGTCTGTTCACATCTCTTCACCTCACAGATCAGTCACATATTCCTACTCTCAGGTGTCCTCCAGGATGTTTGTGTCTATTTCCTGTTTCATTACTACACTTAAAAAGGTATAGACGGTGTAATGGATATCACTTTGACTGTTTAATCACAGACATTCTGAAGTAAAACCTGATCTTTTCACAGCTTTATCTGTTTAAATACTGGCAGTACAAGATTCCAGCTGACCGGTGTTAGGACCTTCCCTTGTGCAAAGGTAGCAACTGTTTTACCTCTACTGAATTTGTGCATTAGTGAGAATTGAGTTGAATAGAAAAGACATCAACATTTTAGTTGTCTTGTACTGAGGGGTCTAAGGCCCCTGAGAGACATTGAAATGAGTGCTTGGACTTACTACCAGGCCTGTCTTTTTCATGTACAAGATTAAAAATACAAACATGTCAGGGGGAACTGATCTTCTCTCCCTTAATTTCTCTTGATGTGGTATGGTGCATTTCACTCTACACCTTAGTTTTTATGCTTCTCCATGCAGACATTTCAAGATAAATACTAATCTATACAGTGAACTTCTAGATCTTCATTTTTTAAAAGCTAATGAAAGTGTGAAGCCCAAACAGTAAAAATGGTCTAAATGCTGCTGTATTCCCAAGCTAGGCTGAAGAATGTAAAGTTACACTACTCAGTAAGTGCCTTTCTTTAAGAACAGAGTTAATTCTGAAGACACTATACCTTTTACCCTGTGAAGAGATTTGAGGCCAGTAAGAAATGAATGAGAACACAAAAATAAGCCAACCATTGATGGACAGGCACATAGATACCACTATTGACCACAATTTCAGTATTTTTTCTAAGGTTTGCTAAAAGCTTTAAAAATTTTCTAGTTTCTGTGCTGTTAGTTCTGTTATTATGAGGTTATAGTTTCTCTAAAGTGCTAAAGAACATTGTTCTTCTAACTTATTTGTGTAATACAGTTTTTCATTACTTAAATGTGGAAGCAGAAAAAAATACCTGTTCATGGGTAAAAGCATGCTTCCTTCATTAACTAGGAACTGAACCATGCTCCTTCACAAGAGCCACAAGTGCTCTGTAACCATGGAGCCATGGCTGCAGTCCCCCAAGTTAGAATCTTTAGACAACAAATATTACTCTCAGTTTCTGTGGGTCAGTCTGTGCACCACTTACTGTAGGTTCTGTGGCCTGTGGTCTCCAGTGCAGGAATGTGTTGGAGGAGGCTACAGTGGTCAGAAGGCTGGAAAGTTCATTGTTGGCAGGATTCTTCGCATAGGTTGTTGTCCTAATCTGAAGATCTTTAGTTCTTAGAGTCCATGTTCAATTTCTTGTGACTCAGCTCTCCACAGGATATGGAACCATGTGGCAGCTGATTTGCATTATCAACCTTAATTGCAAGACCAGGAGATAAACAAAATAGGAGTTGCCTTTTTGTAACTTGATTGCAGAAGTAGTATTGGTTCTTTTGCTGTATTTAGAAGTGAGTGGCTAAGTCCAAGGATGGGGATTTTTACAAGGGTGTGAATACAAAGAGGTAAGAATTAATTGAGGCCAATTCAGAGGCTACCTGGTAGAGTGTTTGAGAATACCATTAATGATGTCTGTGAATAAAATGTCAAACATCTGTATTAGAATGGCTAACTCAGAAGCCCACCTCTGGCAGGTAAAATCTGAATGAGGATTGTAGCAATCCTGTGCTGCTGATCACTTTGCTTCTAACCCTGCTATACTTAAAAAACAATCTTTAATGCTGATAGAGTTCAGTGATAGAGCATGTACCTAGGCATGGCTTTATATTTGATCCTCAGAAACAAAACAGGTAGGAGAAAAAGATTATACATGATTAGATGAAGCCAGTCTTCATTTTATATGTCTGTCCTATATGAAATTGTATTCTGAAGCCAGCCTGTAATCCTAGCACTTAGGAGGCTGAGGTAGAAGGATGTGCAGATTTAGTCTACATACTGAGACCTGGTTTCAAAAAACAAAAGGAAAACCGGAAGAAATAAGTTACTTTCTATTGTTACAGTCTAAGAAGGGATGGAAAAATAAATGGAGTAAATCTGCCTTTAGATTTTATTTATTTTTAGGTGTGTGTGTGGGTGCAGTGGTGTATATGCACATGAATGCAGGTGTTCGAGGAGTCTAGAGGCACCATATCCCCTGAAGCTGGAGTTACAGGGGTTGTGAGCCATAGATGCTATGAATTGAACTTAGGTCCTCTGGGAGAGCAGGGTACTATCTTACCACAGAACCATCTCTCTGGTTCATTTTCACTCAACCCTCTTTTTGAGGCTAGAACTCTGTATGGGCTGGCATTGAATTCCTGGGCTTCCTACCCCAGCCTCTGAGGTATCCACCCCTAATCCTGGTGGAGGAAGACGAAAACCTACAAGTAGCTTCTGTGCTTACTCTGCTTAGATGGCCAGAGCCCTGTGAGCATAGGGTCTTGAAAATTAGTGTTTAGTATTTGTGAAGATGAGTTCAGTATTTGAAGATGAGTTCAGAAGTAGGTGTCTAGGTAAAATTTAGAAATGTAGCATTATTAAAAGGCAAAGGGCACTTTCAAATCCATAAAATGAATCTTCAAATTAGGAATTTATTTATTTGTTTTTTTTTTTTTTTTTTTTTTTGAGACAGGGTTTCTCTGTATTGTTTTGGAGCCTGTCCTGGAACTGGATCTGTAAACTAGGCTGGCCTCAAAATCTCAGAGATCTTCTTGCCTCTGCCTCCTGAGTACTGGGATTAAAGGTGTGCTACCAACGCCCAGCTAGGAATTTATTTTTATCTTGCCTTTTCACCTTGAGAGATTATTGTGATTCCATATTTTAAAGCCCTGGGGGAAAAAGGTGAAAGTAGGTCATGACAGACCTGCTGTTGTTACAAGTCTTCAGTGGCATTTGGATACATTTCCTCCCCTTTGATAAAAGCATTTCTTACAGTATGTCTGGTTTTTTAATCATCCAGCTCAATTGGGTAAAGTCCTGTTGTCTCTTTTTAAACTTACAAATTATATCACGTGGGCTAGGAAAGATTGAGCCGTCATAAACTTAGCAACTTAAATTTTTAAATTCGACAGAGGAGTCTGGTCCCTTCACATGAATTTCAGTGTCTCCTTTCTTCCTTTGGTGCATTTTATGTGGATCTTAATCCCGCTGCTTAGTGGTGTGGTTTTAACTGCCTGTCTGGGTTGATCTGTTTGTAAGTGTTTTTCACCTGCTGTCTTTATAACAGGAATCTTACCCGTCTTCTTCACCAATATGGTTTGTGGACTCTGATGACCCAAATCTAACATCAGTTCTGGAACGCCTAGAGGATACTAAGAACAACAATTTGGTAAGGAGATAAACCAGTCTTTCCTTTTTTGCCTTCTCATGGTCTTATAATAGAAATTAAGTATTAAGAGTTAATATGATAAAAATCTACTTCATTTATTTCCTTTTCCTGATATTTTCCATCCCTCTTTAGATTGTAACACAGTTGTTACAGCATGTTTAGTAATTACAATTTAGGGAGCTTAGACACAACAGCTTTTGAAGTTCATCTCCTTCTTTCCATAGAAAGTTCCTGTCCACATTAGGAATTGAGGCTCTCTTTTTTCTTTCATTCTAACTTTTAACAAAGCAGACACTTTTGATAGGCTTTTGGGAGAGGTGAGAAAGGACGGTGGAGAGAGAAAGGCCACTGTAGATGTGAAGGGATGTAGTGATAGAATAGCAGCAGAACTGATGTGAGGAGGGGTTTCCTATGCTGGTGAGGGCTCACGTATCTGCAGAAAAAGCCCAAATTTACTGAAGAAAGGTTTGTTTGTTTTTGTTTGTTCCCGTGTTCACACATTCCAAGACCCCTAGTAGAAGCCCAGATCTATGGGTGGCTCTGAGCTCTATATAAACATGTTTTCTTCAGTACTTTGTACACTAACAGATTAATAGTAGCCAGTAGTAAGGCAGAACAATGACAACAGGCTCCATGTTAAGTAACTTTAAAAGTTGTTTACTTCCAGTTAGCATATGTGGACCTTGGTTAACCTTGGAAACCTGGAATTGTAGAGTGCTTATCTGGGGGTAAAGAGGAACCACTGTGTAAAGAGATAACCGCCTTTTGGGGCTGGAGAGATGGCCCAGGAGTTCAGAGCACTTCCTGGACTTTCAGAGGACTTGAGGTCAGTTCCCAGCATTCAGTTTGGACAGGCAGTTTTACAACTGCTTGTAACTTTAGCTCCAGGGAGTCTGATGATTTTTAGTCTCTATAGGCACTGAACTCAGGTGTATACACACACACACACACACACACACACACACACACACACAAACACACACACACGTAAAAAGTATCCTTTCATTTTTCTAAACTAAAAATGTTTACTCTTTGATTGTAAACTAGTATTTTACTTATTTTGAGAAAACTAATAAGTTGTAGACAAACAAAGAGGACATTTAACTTTCCTATAACTTTTTACCTAATACAACCACTGTTGACACAATGGATATTTTCTGCCAGTGTTTTCTTTGCTAGCAAAATACATACACCATATCATATGTCTTTAAATAATTGGGGTTATAATCCATAGTTTTATATCCCTTTTGAACTTACTGTATTTTTTCCATGATGTTATTAAATTCTTATGGAAAAAATAATTGTTCTTTGTAGATGTCATGGTTTTTTAAAAATACCCTTCTCAGATCCCTATAACCTGTAAAGTGGCCAGCTGGAGAAAAACAACTAAATTGATTTATTGAAATAATGTTTTATAAAAATCTGTAGTATTCCAAATATTACTGATTACCAGATCCAAAATACAGTGGTATTTTACTGAAATTAAACACCTAGGAATAAACTTATATGAAGAAAACTACATGATTTTGCTCAGCAGAATGTAATGACTTAGATATAATATTCCTGGGTGAGCAGATAGATGTCTGAGATGTTACAAATGCCACTTATCTCCATGTCCTTATATTTATAAATCTAACACAGTGTCACTAAAAATGACTTACTTATTTTGGTTTTTAAAGACGGGATCTTGCTGTGTAGTTCACGTGCAAGCCTTGTGTCTCAGCCTTTCCAGTAGTGGGACTGCATGCAGGCTGTGTCACCATGCCTAACAACCAACGGATTTGTTTCTGTTTTGACAGAGTGACTCTAAGAATAAATAATAAAACACACACACAAAAAAAGAGTGAATGTAAGTTTGAAAAGATTTAAAAGTGTTCAATTCTTAAGAGCCATGAAAGTAGGAGGTAATTAAAAGACAGGCTGATACATGTTGACGTGAGTGGTGATGGGAAAAACAGACAGACATAGCCCTCTGTCCCTCCTCAAATTGCTTCTGAGCCAGGCCCAGTGGCACAGGCCCATAATCGTAGCTACTTTGCAAGTTTAAGGCTAGTCAACCCATTGAGCTCTTGTCTCAAAAGTTAAAAAGATGGTTGAAATTACAACTCAGCAGGAGAATGCTCATTTACCTTGTGCAGGGTCCTAGGCAAAATCCCTGGTACTATGAAAAATAAAACAAACTTGTTAAGTTAAATAGAATAGGACTTAACACTTGACCAAATTAAATAGTGAAGGGAAAAAAACATGTTTTTACTCTTATAGCCTCTGCCATAACCTGGTTTCTAGAGAGAATAGTTGTTTTGTTTTGATTTTTAAAATTTATTATAGTGTAGATTCTACTATTGGATGGATATTTATTTCTTACTTGTCCAATCCAGTGGCTCCTTTTTTAGTACCCAGTTTTTTTTGTGGTTGAAATATTCTTCCACGAACATGTATTGTTTGATGCCCACCAATAAAAGAAGTGTTAAATTTTTAAAAATGTGATATATAGTTGGATACTGCAATAAAAAAAAGTGCAGCCAGCCTTTTCCCGTAGTACACATAGGATGTTGTAATAAGTAAAAATCAAGGCATAGAATATTGTGTAATTGCCCTCTTCTGCATGCAGGGTTGTAAAATATATACTAGTACTGGCTTTTGCTGTGTTTACTTCTTCCTTCCTGTAAATGTAGGAAGCTGTTAGCAGAACACAGAAAAATACTTTAAGAATATTGATTGGCTTCTCTATGAAGCCCTGTGATGTGATGTGTATTTAAAGACAAGATATGTCTGTCCTGTGTGAATTGCTAACCCAGTGGGAACTTTTATGAGACCACCATTCCCTGGCTCCATTTCTGATTATCTTGTCTTGGTCACCTCTGAGGAACTCTTCCTTGGTATGTCTCTTTATTATCTTTTTATTCTATGGTTTCTCTGTGTAAGCTCTTTTACTCTCATTGCTTAAGTTATACTTTATTTATTACAGGGATTTCTAAATCTGCATCTCTAGCCAAAATTTTTCTTCAGAGTTTGAAATCCATACACTTAATGTATATAGATCCCCTGTGTCCAGGGGATCTTGCTTGGATGTGCCATGGAATGTGAATATCCGTTTACATTTATCTCTTATCAGCCCATCATGCTTTCTCTCACTGATTCTCTTTGTAGAAATGAAATAATAACACTGGTCATCTGTGCCTGGCCCTGGGAACTTAAGAGTTCTTTTTTATACTTCTGTTTCCCAAACTGTAAACTCTCTAGTAAGCCTTGTCTATCTGCCTTCTAAATATTTAGTTACTCCCTGTGGTCTTAGTTTCTTCCACAGTCCCTGAAGAGGAGGGTAGTGTTAAAAATTTAACTTCCTGGAAGATGTACTCCCTGTTATTTCTGTTGCTTGGCATGATGCCATCACACTGCTGCTGTCTACAGTCCTCCTGCAGGATCCTGTGCCAGGATAAGATCATGCCTGTGTCCTGGTCACCCTGTCTCATCTCATTATGTGCTTACACATATTCTAGCTTTTTGGATAGATAACAAATCCATAATGGTGGGCCCTTTGCTTCCCTTTAAGCATGAGGATATTTGTTTGGTCTAATTTAGTGTTTAGCTTTTTCCCATGTCCACTTGGTCCTTATCCATTTTGGAAGGGCTTGTTCTTTGCTGGGTTTAACCCATTCTAATTCTGTTTTCTTAGTCCTCCATGGACCTGCTTCTTCTTTGTGTCTTTTCTTGGGCAGAGACATTGAGATAACTGTTCTAAGTATTGCTCATCTTCTATATTGGGGAAAAGCCTGTAATAATGAAAAGTATGTTTATACATAATTTTCCTTGTTTATTTTCTTAAAGTATATATACCTACACAATTTTAAAATGGAAATTTAAAGAGCTATTCTAATATAGCGGTTTTCCCAATGATTTCTGTCTTTTCTTTTGGAGAGGCGTAATTTTAATTTACTCCTTATTGTCTGTCTTGAGAAGCCTTGTTTTGCAGATGGGGAGACTAAAGCCAGGGGCTTATGTATATTAGGTTATTTATTTCAGGGCTCAATCTACTAGGTGCCATTTGTCTCTATAGTTTTAAACAAATGTGACTGTTGCATATGTAATGTCATAATCCACGTGCAACATTTCCTTTAGGATTTTTATAGTCTTTTATGAATGCATTAATGTTCTCTTGTCTACAGCTGCAAGTTTCTAAGATGTTAGCAACTAGACACTAGACAAATGTCTGAACTTTTCTTCTGTGCCTTTTTGTTGGTGTTATTTTCTAGTTACCATGTTGTAAGGATATGCTAAGTTGTAGTAATTTTTTAAAATAGTGATTTTCTTATGTTAGCAGCTCTAAAATGTATAAAGACTGTTGCTCCATCCGTAGGCTGTAGTTGAGCAGGGGCACATTTTCATTTCCTTCTGGATTGATTAACAGTAGTTGTAGCATTATTCAATGTCTTCTAAGGGCTCTTTAACATAATGCTTATTTACTGAAATGTGTTTTGTAGCTTCGTCAGCAATTGAAGTGGTTGATATGTGAACTCTGCAGATTATATAACCTTCCTAAGCACCTGGATGTTGAGATGCTAGATCAACCACTACCCACGGGTCAGGTAAAGTACACATTCTCTAGTGTTGAGCTGAAATCAATTGTCTAATCAAAAGTTAAACTAGGATAACTTAAAAACTTAAAATTATTATACAATCTATTTGGAAGTTAGTTTTGTGTCCCTAGTATATTGCTTTGCTTTAGGTACGAAACAGCCTTTTCATGTCTTGGAGTTGCTTGTATTTTACTGTGATAGGTGAGCGCTTGCTCCTTGACCTCACCATTTTGGTTTATGTTAAAATTTCTCTGATTTCTGTGTTTCTTCTTTGATTGTTTGCTTGTTTAGTCAGTTACCTTCCCTTGACATATCATGTCCATATATCTGTTTGTGCTTCTTAAGGTCTAATGCAAAGTTATCTCTCCCAAGCAGTGCAAATTTCCACCAATTCAGCAATCACTCATGACTTTTAGACTTATCTATTTATCTATCAGTTACTGACTTTTTATCGTAACAAATCAAGATTTAGCTTTTATACAATCTACTTAATCACTCAATGCTTCTAAAGCACTATTCAGTTAGGAGTAATCAGTTTACCATTAGGACGTTGTAGAGCCATGTTTTCTGTTAGGGCATTTCTTTACTTTTGCCATCTTTTGTTTCTTAGTGTCCTTTTTATAGTAATACTTTTTAGCTTCTAAAATTTATTCTTATTCTGTGATTCTCTCTCTTTGGAGACGTTGGCTCTTCCGCATTAGTCCTTATGAGCTGTTCTCTGGCCTGGCTGTACACTGTCACCTCGATTTTTCTTGTCTGCTCTCCTGGAGTGAATTTACTAATCCCTGGATCTCCTGTCACCTTTGTTGGTTGTTTCCTTTCTTGTTTGTGTCTATTACATGGTCAGATAAGAGTCAAAGCATGAAAGAATGATATATTTTCCAAGTTAGCTTTTGAAAAATCTGGTTCTGAGTTAGGGTTTCAGAACAAGCCCACAATGTTCTTAAATTTCGGTTTTGCTTACTGGCTTAAGTTCATGGGTTCTTGGGCCATTCTCCTAAACACTGGTCATTTCTCATTTGCACAAAGTACTTACAATAGTATTTTGGCAGCACAGTGAGATATTCTAAAAATATAGGATCAGTGAAGTACATGTGAATTATTTGGGACATCATTAGTAAGTATTAACTGCTGTTATGTTCTCTTCTTATTTAGTATTTGATTAAATTCATAATCTAAGTTGAAACTTTTTCAAGAGTGTGCTGTTGCCTTCCATCCAGTGGTGCCGCTGAAGCTAATGCCATCTGGGATCTTACTCAGGCATGACTCTTTCTCTGGTGGCTTCAGGGAATTTGTGCTTTCTTTGGTGAAGTGAAGTAATTCAATGGTGTCCTTAGCTTGGGTCTTTTTTCTTCATTGTGCTGGGAATTCAGTAAGGATATTCCTTTTCAAATTTGAGTCTTAAACTTTGTTGTATATTTTGTGTGTTAGCTTTTCCATTTTGTTTAGAGTTTACTGGTTGGGCTTTTAAATTTTTGTTTTTATTCTTTCTGGAGACAAGATCTTAAGTAGTTCAACCTGGTCTCAAAAATCCATAGGTAGCTGTGGCTGAAGACCCTCTTGTCTTTACACCCTGAATGCTAGAATTACAGGCTTGTGCCACCATGCCTGGCTACTTTTAGATTTTAGATCTCTTAGTTTGAGACTTTATATCTTTCATATTATATTCTTGTTGTTAATTTTATTATATTTTTATTTGTGTGTATGTGTTGGTATGCACATTACAGGAATTGGTTCTTTCTTTCCATCATCTGAGTTCCAGGGAGCAAACCCTTGTGGTTAGGTTTGGCATGGGACATCTTTATTCACTGAGACATTTCACTTTTTCTCTTAAAGTCTTTCTGCTCTTTTGACTTTTTGCTATTTTTTACATGGACAGTAATAACTTTAAGGTTTTAAACAATAAGCATTTTTATGTATATGAGTGTTTTGCCTACATGTATGGATGTGCACCATATGTGTGTAGTAGAGATCAGAAGACTCCGTTGGGTTCACTGGAAATGGAGTTACAGATGGTTGTGAGCTCAAGTGTGGGTGCTGGGAATCAAACCGTAGCCCTCTGCAAGAGCAGCAAGTTCTCTTAACCACTTAGCACCTGTTTTGTTTTTATTATGTATCTCTGTTTACCTCATTTTCTCAAAATTTAGTGGTTTAGAGCTGGATGTGTTAGTACATGTTTATAACCTCAGCACTCAGGAGACTGAGGCAGGGTGAAGAGGAGTTGAGGCCACCCTAACCTACAAGTGAAGACCCTGTCTCAAAACACAAAAACAGGTTAGGCATGGTGACTCACACCTTAGATCCCAGCACTTGGGGAGCAGAGACAGACAAATTCTTGAATTTGAGGCCAATTGGGGCTACACAGTAAGACCTTACCTGAAAAAAATTAAAAACAAAGTCAAAAAACTCAAAGATCGTAATGCCTTACAATGGTAATCTTTACTATTGGATGGGTTAGCTAGGCTTAGCTGGGTAGTGTCTGCTGGCTTCATTTGGTGATTGGATTATTACTTTGTAGTCATGCAGTGTCCCATTCAGCATATTGATTATTACTGTGTGGCCCTGTGGTGACATGTTCAGCATAGTATGGACGTAGACAACTAGTGTGATGTTTATCCCAAGCTGCATTCAGGTATCCAGCATGGTCCCCCTTCCCCCTCCTCGTGTATCTGGCATCTTTGGCATGTCTTCACATGCCTTTTTACTGTCCATGGCACCATCCTCTAGGGCCTCTTCATAAGGCTTCTGTTTCTTCAGAGGCCGTTTGGAAATCCTCAAGAACACAAGAGTGGGAGTTGCTGGACATTCTTAAGGTGTAAACCTGGAGCAGATGTAGTGGTCTGTGAGTTAAAGCAAGTCTCAGGCCAGCCCAGGTTCACTGTGGGCTGGGACACCATGGGTTTTAAATGCCTGGGGGTGTGATTCTTCTCCAGTCTGTGAATGTGAGCCAGAGCTCAGGAGCTTCTGATTATCCTTTCTCCGTAGCATTCTGTATTGATTGTCTAGATGTGATAGATTTCATGAAGCTGTGTGTTTTGACGCTTTGGTCCTTCCTAGTGTTTATATTTTTTATTTACTATGTATTTTCTCAGTTTAATCATGTCTTGTTTTATACATTGTAAATTAGCCTGTCCACAAATATTTTGTATTCTGTGTTTGCTCATCCATATTCTAATTTTTCACATACCTTTCTTTTGTACCAAATGGATGATTTGGCACTCTTTGTAGCAAAGACTTGTCACCTTATAGCTATAGGGGGAATTTATGCTGATTCCCAGCCACTCATTCCCCCTACTTTTCTGTTGGGTAAATAAATGATGGCTCCAGTTACTCTGGAGATGGACTTTATCTGATAGATAAATCTTCCCAGGTTCTGCTTAAGGAGGTGGAAATGGGTAATGTAGGTTTCTGTCCTGCCTGCTGTCCCTGTTGCAGTGCATTTGGTGTCCTCTTCAGGGTGTTTTATACATATCTACTCTTGTCCTGCAACTTTACTTGTGAACTCCACTGATTAGTTAGTTCCTGTTTGCAGTCTAATGGAAGTAGATAGAGTCTTACTGCTCCTGGTCAGCCCGTTCCTTTTGCTTTTTAAGATTTGTACATATATGGTGTTTATTCTTTCGTAATTTAGTGGAGCCTAACGAAAGATAATGAGAAAAGGGTTTTATTTTTGTATCTGTTCAAGTTTTATTTCCTAGAGTATCTGTGGGTTTTGTGTGTGTGTGTGTGTGTGTGTGTGTGTGTTTTTAAACCTACGCTATATCCTGGACCTGAAGTCTGTCTTGTTTTCCTGAGTGTACATGAGAGGCTAATGTAGATATCTAAGATTATTTATGAATTATGTAACAAAATGCCCTGATTTTGAATCATCTTTGCATTTTTAAATAAACATTGCCAGTATAGCTATGGTAATTTTATTATTATTATTATTCTTACTTAGACTCTGAGATTGTAGAATGAATTTGTTCCTATGTAGGCCCTCAGGAAGCTTTGCATCTTCTTTCCCCACAATATAGTTTTAAATTTAGTAAATTTCAAGCAAGAGCAATTTTGCTTCCAGGGGACATTTAGAAATACCTGGAAGCATTTTGGGGTGTCATCACTAACTGTAGCAGAGAGGTGGGGTGCTGTTGGCCCTTTGTGATTTGATAGACTGCTTTTAAAGTACTACGATGAGGCATAGAACCCCACAACATGGTAGCTGGTTGACTATGTCAGTACTGCTGAGGTAGAAAACACATTCAAGCCTGATGCAATTCTGAAATTTCTTTATCCTGATGATTAACCAGATGCTTGTCTACACCTTAGACCCAGAAGAATCAGTTCTTTTTTAAAATGTAATATGTTTTTCCCCCCTTTTTTTTCCTTCTCCCTTCCCTCTGTATTTTAATTATTTCTACCTTCTGCTTTTAATGGATCGTTATTATTAAAATGCTTCTCTGTATGTATGTGTGTATGCATGTTCTGTGTGGAGGCCAGAGAACAACCATGGGTGTTTCTCAGATGCTCATCCTTTTTATTTTTCTTAAAATTTAGTTTTACTTTATGTGTACGTGTCTCTTTTACCTGTATGTAAGTGCTCTGTAGTTGTGCCTGGTGTCTTGGAGGCCAGAAGAGGGCACCAGAATCCCTGTAATTGGAGTTACAGTGGGTTGTGAGGCACCATGTAGGTGCGGCAAACCTAATCTGGGTTGGTTGATAATTCTCTTAATTGTTGAGGCTGCCTCACCCCCTTTGTTTGAGACAGAGATTCTCACTGGTCTGGAACTGTATTCAGTAGGTGAGGCTGGCTGTACAGCAAGCCCTAGGAATCTGTCATGTTGGACATGGGTACTGAGGATCTGTACTTAGGCCCTTATGCTTACATGGCAAGTACATTACTCACTGAGTCATCTTCTCAACTGTTAAAACTGATTTCTTAACACATGCAAAGCTAGATATTGTCTTTGAGTGCTGGTTGACTTCCTTATACAAGGTTAACATATTAGTGTGTGTTTTGAATAGCTTGTATTTCTTAAATCTGTTTCACCATTTATTCACATGCCTATTAAGTATGAGTCAGGTGGCTGTTACCTTTAATCCCAGCACTCTGGAGGTAGAGGCAGGCAGATAGATCTCTAAGTTTGAGGCCAGCCTGGTCTACAGAGCTAGTTCCAGGACAGGCTTTAAAGATACATAGAGAAACCCTGTCTTGAAAAACAAAACAAAACAAAAAGACCTATAGTATGAAATACAATATATGTTGAAAATAAAAAACAAAAAACTTTTAAGCTTGGCACAATGTTTAATTACATCGAGTCCCTGGGAGCTGTTGGCACAACAGAAAGCCTTCAGCATACTCCTTCAGGTCTTTATAGCTAGCCATCTTCCCTTATTTTATCTGGTTTTATCGTTTGTATGCGCATTCTTATATATAATTTTAGTGTTGCCTGTTTTTTGAGCTCCATGTTAAGAGTCATGATATATATTGCATGTTTTCCTTTGCAGTTCCTTTTTTCATTGTTATATTTATCCATTGTTCAGATATACCAGAATATTTACTCTTTTGCCATTTGAGTGTTGGTGGAAGTTTAAGTTGTTTCTAGGTGGTGTGCCCCCCACCCCCCACCCCCACCCCCGGAATCCCATTGTGGATTATCTTTTTTTGTATTTCTGGATACTCCTATCTGGGGTACATACTGAGGAGTTACTTTGCTAAGACATGAATGTCTTTTTTTTTCTTTTCTTAACTCAAAGAGTTATCTAGACAGGACTTTCAAATATTTTTCAGGTGACTTTGTAACTAATTTGGTTTTTGTTTGTCAGTACATGTGACCTCTCAACTTCATTATCAGCAGTTACATAGACTTTGCCAATGGTGTAATTCCTGTTCTTGCTACTCCCAGGCAGATCCCTAGATAATATATTGTAGTTGTGTTTTTCCTCAAAAGGTTTGGTTTATGGAGATGTGTATGGTATGCATGGAGAGTGTTGTGTACTTGGTATCGGTTTTTAGCATAGTAATTGTGTTGGTGTGGGGATCCACGGTGTGCACAAATGTGCACTCACACACATAGCTCTGTCTGAACGGAGCTAGTTACAGAGTTCTAAGCTGCATTCCACCTCTGCTATTTATTGTTACAGATGAAACTCCAATGACTGTGTGATTCCTTTTTCTGTGTATTTCATTTTTCCTGCCTGAATGTTGGTTTGGTTTCCTCTTTAACTCTAAAGAAGTGGACTCTGTTTTGCTTCTCAGTATTTTTTTAGGGTATCCAGAGATACTTAGTATTCTAAACTCTTTCTCAGCATTTGCCACTAGTTGTCTCTTTTCCGTTCATATTTTTCCTTTCATTCTGTGGATGAATATTAGACCTTTGTATTCTTGTCTTCCGCATCCCTAAAATGCTTTATTTCTAACTCCTCAGGCTTGTACTCATTTTCTTTCTTCATATTCTTGTCAATTTGGTCGTCTTCATTAGAAAAGATTTATTCAAAGGAGGCAGTTGGTTGTTGGCTTTTTTTTTTTTTTTTTTTTTTTTTTTTTTTAAATAATAACTGGTTCTCAACAGTGCTAATGATTCCAGTTAGTTTGTCTTGCCTCAGGTCACTTGTGGTTTTCATTTCCTCCCTTCCTTCCTTCCTTCCCTCCCTCTCCAACTTTTTTTTTTTTTTTTTTTTTTTTTTTAAGATGCTTATTTTAGTATGTGTGCTCCATCTGCATGTACCCCTTTATTTCAGAAGAGGACACCAGATTTCATTACAGATGGTTGTGTGGTTGTTGGGAATTGAACTCAGGACATCTGGAAGAGCAGCTCTAGCCCATTTGTGGCTTTTCTTTGTGGATCAGTTTTCTATTTATGCTACTTGGTTATTTGCTCATTTATAGGAAAGATATGGATGACATCAGTCAGTACCAGTTGTTGATAGAGGTATACAAGGATAGTTATTTTTCTTTGCTGTTCAATGCGTAGAATCTGCACTCACCTGAAGCCAGAGGATGGGGAGGTCTTGGCAGGCGGGGTTTCCAATTCCTGCATCTGTTATGATATTCTATTGTTGTGTTGAGTTATCATAAGATGATTTCTTGCTTTCTCTTTGGCTCTAACACTCATAGTAGAGGCCATCAGGGTAGATAGGGTTGCTGTAGAGTAGAGTGATCCTTAAAACAGGACAACTTAACAGCAGTTCATCCTGTTAGCTTTAGTGCCAGGGTGGCTAAAACTTGTTAGCAACAGCAGGATCCGTCAGCTTTCTGTCTGTTGCTACCCTGTAGTTGTGGGTCTGCGTATTATTTATTTTTCTAGTGTAGCAATGTCATTTTTATCAAAGTCTCACCTCCCCCAACCCCTGTTTTGCGGCAGGGTTTCTATTCACTGCTCAGGCTGTCCTAGAACTTACTATGTAGCTGACCTTAAACTCACATCAGTCTCTCAGTGCTGGGACTACTGCCTTGAGCTACTATGCTTGTTTTCAGAAAAAAAGCCTGCCTACACGTTGAAATGAGGATTTTGTGTTTATGTCAAATTACTTATCCTTTGGGGAAGAGGATTGCTCAGCTTTCTCATTTATAAAATGTTAGGCAGGCACTAGTTTGATGGTCACTTGTAGTATATGTTTTTCAGGGCTGACCATGTGGTCAATCAGTTGGTGTCCTCATCCATGGGGAGGATTATTTCTTTGATATAGTTCTTTGTTTAGGTCCTATGAGAGTCGCCCTTCTATGTTAGCATTTCTATTGATGTCATTCTTGCTCAGGTCTTATTTAGGTAGCTAGGAAGGTAAGAAGACTTCATGGATATAGCTTCTGTGATATTTCTAGGAGACCAAAATCTCACAGCAAACTTCTTTTCTTTCCTCTGGTGCTTACAGTCTTACTGCCCTTTTTTGCTATGACCCTGAGCCTTGGATACAGGAGTTGTGTTATAGATGTGTCAGTTGGGGCTGGAAACTGCCACCAGCTTACATGTTTGTTCTTTTTATTTTGATTGGTTTTGTCTTTCTGTAATGGTCTCTTAACTCTTGCATTAAAGTGCATTGAAGACAGATTCTGAAATTAGCATTCCAAAAATGCTTTTCACTCATACTAAACTCAGACTTGTATTTGGGACCTTGGGACTATTTGGGAACTATGTTCTTTTTGTTTTTGACAAAATACCAAAAATAATTTGGTTTAGAAATGAAGAAAAGGGTGAACCACAATAATTTTGGGAACTGCTTGCTTTTCTCATTTAGTTCCAAGGAAAGGAATAATAAGTGTCTAAAGGGATTCGGATGTAAAACAAGCCCACGCTTATTGTGTCTGTACTTGCATATAGTCTTTCCAGGTCACTGATTGTGAAGGCTTTCTCTCACTCTGTGGTAATGAGTTTTTTTCTTATGACTTGTACTCTTAGAGCATCTAAGAACAGATACCTTGAGGCTGCTGAGATCCTGGTTCGTCTGATTTGATTTCTGGGCCCTAGTTTCTTGATATTTTAGCTATTCTGGGTCCCAATCTAAACCCACCTTTATGAGTACAGATATATTTCCATATTGACAGCTGGAAAACTTTGCTCTGGCAGGAGACTTGATGTACTACTGTGTATGAAGGCCCTCCTGTGTGAATGAGTAGTAAAACTGTGTCTTAAAGGAAGTTTTCTGTAGCAGGTAGACTGAGTGCTTCAGCCACTTTTCAGCCTTACAAAGTGTCCATGTCTTTTTGACATACTTGACCATTTAAAATGTAAGGCATGTAAATTTATTGAAAGATTAAGGTTTTCCAGATTAAAGAGAGATAGATAGATAAAGGAAAAGAATAATTTGGAGCATTTATTATTATTATTTATTATTTATATGCAGAACCCTTTGGCCATATACACATAGCTATTTAAATGTTTTGTAAAATAAGGTTATATTTTAGTTTTTTAATTTCCTTTATATTTGATTGCCTTTGTTTATTCTTAAAGCATCTGCTACATTGGATTGACTTAAAAATTAAATCCTTTAATTTTAATAAGCCCTGCTCATGGGACTGCAGTGACAGTGGTTAATAGTGGCTAGCTTTCTGATGTGTTCTGTGTGTCTGTGTTCTGTGTAGCTTTGGCACATTCTTTCTCTGTTTCAGAATGGGACAACTGAAGAGGTGACTTCAGAAGAGGAAGAGGAGGAAGAGATGGCTGAAGTAGGTACTTATATAAGAATAATATTTTGTGAATATTTTAAAATGTTCATTTAATTTTTACTAGTTTTGGTGTATGTGCCCATGAATGTGTGTGTGGGGGGTGTTTGTACTATGCAGAGGATTATTTGGATGTCCATTCTCTCTACCATGTGGGTTCAAGGATTGAACTCAAGTCATTAAACTTGGGGGTAGTTGCTTGGGGGCTGAGCCATACATCTCACTGGCTCGCATCTCATGAATATATTAATGTTTGATACACTTTATTAATTCTTTAATCTTCTCTTTTGAGTAATGTTAATATTGAATAACATTTGTATTTCAGATGGGATATACTTTCTAAACCCTGGCTTTGCATCTAATTAGTGATATGCATTTGAAAAAATTATTTTATCTGAGGGCAGTAAAAATCTGTTTACATTTATTTAGCTTATAATTTGGTTATTTTTAGGAAGAACTACTAAGTTTAACATTTGTTTTTACAGCTGGGAAGATACCTGTCAGTAAAGTGCTTGCTATGCAAGCATGAGGACTTCTCCAGCACTTATGTTAAAAACAAAAAGAAGCTAGGTGGTACATCTGGCATCTGTAACTCCAGCTCTGGGGAGGTGGAGACAGGAGGATCCCTGTGGCTCTTTAAGCCAGCCAATCAGCTAGACCCAGACTCAGTGAGACTCTGTCTGAAAAAGACAAGGTGGAGAGTGATTGAGGAAGAGTTAACATTTGTGTAAACGGATTTTTTTCTTTTTGGGCTACCAGCTCACAAAAAATGACATGGAGACTTACTAATTTTGAAAGCTTGGCCTTAGCTTAGGCTTGTCCCACTAGCTCTTATCATTTAAATTAACCCGTATTTTTAATCTATATTCTTCCATACCTCAACTCCATTTTGCCCATCCTGCTCCCTCTGTGTCTGGCTGTCAACTCCTCCTTTCATCTTTCTGGAGCTCTCTGTCCCCAGAAGTCCCACTTAACCTCTTCCTGCATAGCTAATGGCCTTTCAGCTCTTTATTAAACTAACCACAGTAACACATCTTCACACACTGTAAAGGAATATTCCACAACATCCCTCCCCCCATTTTTTAGTCTAAATAAAAAGGAAAGGCTTAACTCTAACATAGTAAAACTATACATAATAAGAACGTTATCAGGTAAGAATTTCATTTACAATGTAATTTGCATTTGGCAAATTCAGAGAAAATACTCCGTTATTAATACTATCTTGGTGAATCCAAAGTTTTGTACCTAATTTACCTTCTATTATAACTAAACTGAGGAAAACTATTAACTCTATCAAAGACCCTTGAAGGATATAATTACCCAAGGAAACAGGAAGTACAGAGCAAGCAGCTTCCAGAAATATGAAATAACAGAAACATCTGCCTGCCTGGACAGTCCCTCTAGGGTTCCTCTGCAATGTTGGGTCATCTATCTTCGGACTACAGGCCTAGAACATCTGACAGACTTTTTTGTGAAGCAGGAAATTTTTGAAGGACTGTGCTATCCTGGCAAAGCTCGGCAGATGCTTTCCTTTGTGTCCTGCTGGTCCAATTTGGACAGTATACTGTCAGCAATTGAGGCAAGGGCACTTTCTTTGCCCAGTGTCTTGCTTTTGCCATAAGGAGAGCAAATTCTATATGGAATGCTTAGTTGTGGATCTCTGCATCTACTTCCATCAGGTACTGGACAAAGCCTCCATGACAATCTGATTACAAGAGGGAGGCCAGGCCAGTTCAGGCATCCTGTCCACTATTGCTAGTACTCTTACCTGGGGTCATCCTTGTAGGTTCCTGGGAGTTTCCCTGGCACCAGGTTTCTTCCTAACCCCACAGTGGCCCCCTTCTACCAAGATACCTCTTTCATTACACTTTTTCTCTGTCCCACCTCCAACTTGACCATCCTGATTCCTCATGCTCTTATCCCACCATCCCTTCTTCTCGCCCCCCCCCCCCCCCCGGTAATATAACTTCTTCAGGGCTGGGAATTGTGGCCTGGTTATCCTTTGATTTGCTTTTGCTTTACATATAATCATTTGTGAGTGAGTACATACTGTGTTTGTCTTTCTGAGTCTGGGTAGCCTCACTCAGGATGATTTTTTCCCCCCCTTCTTTCTAATTTCATCAATTTGTCTGCAAAATTTCATGATGTCGTTGTCTTTTGTTTTGTATTTTGTTTTTTCCACTGAGTAGTACAGCATGGTGTAGATACACCACATTTTCTTTATCCATTCTTTGGTTGAGGGGAATCTAGGTTGTTTCCAGGTTCTGGCTGTTATGAATAATGCTGCTATGAACCTAGTTGAGCAAGTTTCCTTATGGTTTGATTGAGCATTTATCTCATCATTTCATTAAATTCTCCTTTTTCCCTTTAGAAAGCTTTCTCCCTGACCATGGCCAGTAACAATTTGTAACAACCCCCATAAGTGATTATAGTCATCCATAACCCACTGGACAAACAAAAGCCACCCACCCATCTCTTGGGAATGAGAATTCTGTGTTCTCTAGAATGCTTCCTGTTGTCTGTGTGTGACAGCATCTTTATGAAACCTGAGAAAATTAGGATAGCAGTCAAGCCTGGGGGAGATAATCTGTTGTCCATCTTAGTGTGATGGGATAATGCAAGGCTTATCTGAAGTCCTGGCTAAAATAGTCTGTGAGGCTGGACCATCTCAGCCAGCAGCCTTGAAGCTGTTCTGGATGTAGAACTCGGAGGAAACGCTACAAAGGTACTCTGAGAGGCTGGATCACCTGGGCCACTGTTTTCATTTGTGTCTGGTCCCCTTGCTCTGAAAACACACAAAATTTTAAAGGTAACATGCATATTTATTTGCATGATCACAAGTATGGACTGTTCATTGTATACAACTAGCCAAGGAATTTTTTTTTTTTTTTTTTTTTTTTTTTTTTTGTTTTATGTTTGAGTAGGTAAAATGTATGTCACCTGTCTTGTAGTTTTTTAAGGCTTATTTCTTTGTAGGGAAGATTTTCAGGGGAGGTGGGAGTCTCCCCCAATCAAATCTGGTGTTTATTGTCCTTGAACAAATCTACAGCCTTTCATTTTCTGTGGAAACAAAAGCGTAATCTCTTCTCCAATGCAACATATTTTTTGACTTCCATTTTGAAGTTAAGACATTTAAAAAAAACATATAGGCTGGTTTAATTTAACAGTTTCCATAATCCAGAATCTTTCAGCAGCTTTTGTTTGTTCATTAGCAATCAAACTTTTAAAGTCAACAAGATACCATATAGGATTCAGACTGTGATTTTTCATCTTTACGTAGCTAAACTTTTATTTTATCCTCTCCTTTTTATTTTATTGTTTATAAACTACTTTTTTCTATAACTGTCTATACCTATTTTTCTTTCTTTTTTAAGCCTACCCACACTTTTTAAATACACTGTAACTGTTCAGAGTTGTGGGGTTTTTTTTGTTTGTTTGTTTGTTTTTTTTTTCCCCGTGTGGATCTGTCTTTACTGAGCATCTGTAATGTTCTCTGATGGCATGAGACAATCTTAAACTGCTATGTCAGCTGCCGTATGGCTCAGCTTAGCACATGGCACTGGTGGGTGGCTCAGGCCCTCAGGCAGCAGCTGGTAGCCATCTGTCCGTGCCTCTGTATACCACCAGGCACCAGCCACTTGAGAGACTGCAGGACTAGGAAGCTAGATTCAGTTCGTTGTCCAGAACTATTCTTAGTTTTCTTAGGCCCTATGTTTGGATATTTGAGCCCCACACATTGTGTGCCATTTGTAAATGGATTTTTCTTTTTGGGCCACCAGGTCACAAGAAAAATGACATAGAAACTTATTAATTGTGAAAGCTTGGTCCTAGCTTAGGCTTGTCTCACTAGCTCTCATCACTTAAATCAACCCATATATTTAAATCTATATTTTTCTATACTCTTGTTACCTCATCTCCATTTTGCCCATCCTGCTCCCTCTGTGTCTGGCTGTCGACTTCTCCTTTCATCTTCCCATAGGTCTCTGTCTCCAGAAGTCCTGCCTAACCTCTTCCTGCATGGCTAATGGCCATTCAGTTCTTTATTAAACTAATCATAGTGATACATCCTTACACAGTTTAAAGGAAAATTTCACAGCATATTTGGCCCCCCTACACACATGAACGCATGTACACAAACACACACACACACACACACACACACACACACACACACACACAGTTTTATGAGGACATCATAGGGACTGCTAGCTAGAAGCAGTGACATTATCTCTTACTGAAAATTAAGGGCTTTCTGCTGATGGAATTAGAATACTCAAGAATGGGTAATTTGTGTTTGCACAGTTCTGAAAGCTGAGAAGTTTAGAATCAGGTTCTTACTAGCATGTAGCATCTTGTGAGGACTTGAGTGCAGTGTCTTCAAACGATAGAAAGCAAAAGTACAGGAGAATAGCCTAGCTAAATGATCTGTTAAGCTTCCTTTATAGAAGGTTTGATTCATTATTGAGGAAGGAGGGCTTCCTAATCATCTGTTACAGGCCATATTTCTTTTCATCGTGTATTTTTCAAGACAGGGTCTCTCTGTAGCCCCAGTTGTTTGGAACTTGCTCTATAGAACAGGCTAACTTCCAACTCAGTGATCTGCCTGCCTCTGACTTCTGAGTGCTGGGGTTATAGGCTTGAGCCACCACCACCTGGAACTTTTAATCTTAATTTTTATATAATATTGTGTTCTTAATTGAAATAGAATTACATTGCATTCCTTCCTCCAACCCCTTCCAGTTACTTTCTCTTAAACTCCTCCCATGTTCCCCCACTCCCAAGTTGATAGCTTCTTTTTCTTTGATTATTATTGGAATGTATGTATGTATGAATATATGTATTTGTATGCACAAATATATTTGCTGAGTATGAATATATAAATATATAAATGTATATTTGCTTTTGTTGCTTGTGCATATATAATTGGTTATATATTTGCTGAGTGAATGTATTGATGTGTATATATGTGTGTGTGTGTGTGTATTTGCTTTTGTTGATTGTGTATAATTGCTTTCAAAGCTGACCATTCTGTATTGGATAACCAATGAGGGGGCTCACCCCTGTTAGAGGTTAATTTTCCCTCTTCCAGCAGTCAGTAGTTCTTTGTAATTCTTGGTGTAGGGGTGGGAACCTCTGAAGTCTTTTTCCTTCTGTATTATATGTTCATTAATATTGACACTGTTCTAGTCTTGTTTATTCATCTATTCTGTTACTTTGGATCTTAACAGTCTTTCTACCCCCTTGTCTGTGATGTTCACTGAGCCGGAGATGGTGAAGCTGTGATGTAGATGTTTCCACTGGGTCTGGGATTCCCAGGATCTGTTGATCTCTGCATTGTGTCTAGTCATGGTTTTCTTGGATTCTCTCCATTTGCTGTAAAGAAAGGCTGTTTTGATGAGGGATAGTAGCTACAAGTGTGGGTAAGAGGAAAAGATGATTTAGAATGTAGTATGGAATTACAGTGGTTTAGTAAAGTTGCTGTAGTTGACTCTTTTTCTAAAGTCTGTGACTTCATTAGTGCCAGGAAAGCTGCCTAAGTTCCCAGTACCAGGCATGATTTCCTTTCTGATAGGTGGGTCTTTAGTTCAGATAGACAACTATTGATTGCTGCCAATATGCTAGTACAGTTTATTGAACCTTTATGCATATATTGCCATGATAGAAATTGTTCTTCATAGGTTTTGTACCTGAAGAGGATTGCTCCACTTCTTGGCAGCTTACATAGTATTTACTAGGAACATGGAGGCTAGACAGGACAGAGGTACCAGGTGAGTGAGATCTGGGACAAGACAGAGCTATCCGTGTGAGATCCAGGGCAGGAGAGAGGCACCAGGTGAGATCCAGGGCAGGACAGAGGCTTCCAGGTGGTATCCAGCTCAGGTCTTCTGAGTTCTCTGTCTTAAGTGTGTTGTGTTGTCAGCAACAGAAAGCCCTCTTTTAATACCATCATATCACCATTCCTGATTTTCAGAGGGAACAGTCAAATAGCAAAATTTGGAGCAACTCCAAGGCATTAAGTCACTGATAGATTTTTAGATTTTGAAGCTTTGAATTTAAATGCAAGTTTTGTGGTTTTAGTTTTTGGTTTTCAAGACAAGGTTTCTCTGTGTAACACTCCTGGCTCTCCAACTTACTGAGATCTGCCTGTCCCTGTCTCTGACTCTCAAGTGCTGGGGCTAAAGGCATTTGCCACTCCCACCTAGTTAAACTCAAGTTTTAAAATGAAGATCCAGTGCTCCATAGACCAGATAAAATGTATGAGTTTCATGATCTTTAGCTCCAAAAAAAATTGGTTTTTGTTTTGGATCTTATAATTTATTCAGACTTCACTTTATTTGAAAAAAAAAAGTATTTAAAGTATACTTTGAGAGTATCTCAAAGCTAAAGAGGGTTTTTTTTTTTTTAAATATGGGAATAGAATAATTCTTAAAGTTATTTAATTTGGTGGGTAGGCTGTTTACTGTTTTCATGCTGTTTAACTTAGGTAGAATAAATTGCATGACATTAAACTCCCTCCTCCCCCCCTCTTATGCAGGGAAATAGACTTTGTACTCAAAAGTTTTGTACTTTTCTTTTTCTTCTCATAAGATTGACAGGGGCCAATCTTATGGTGCATATCCCAGCACTTGGGAGGCAGAGGCAGCCAGATAGATCTCTGCCTGCCAGGGCTGTTATACAGAGAAACCCTATCTTGAAAAATAGCAACAACAAGAAAGATTTACTAGGGACAGTGATGTTTAGGGAAGTGACTTAGGAGATGTCAGATTAAGTAAAAAGAACAAGGTTTCCATTTTGTCCTTGTTAGTGTGGGTAACCTCAGGTGCGGTGTGTTTCCTGGTACTGGATGCTATTCTTTTAGGGAGAGGGGAGGTGGAGTCCTGGGTAGAAAATGCAGAGAGTTAAAGACAAACATTTTTGTTTCATAAGGTTGATCAGAAGACCATAAGGCAGAGAATAGTGTGCTGTGAGTGTTGTTTTAGAAAGAATGAGGTATTAGGATTTGTTGATTAAGATTCAGGTAAAGTGTGTGGATGGAAATGACTTGAGGTTGGAGGAGGAGGAAGAGGCAGTAATATAGACTAAGGAGGTATTTGCTGAAATTTTGAAGAAAACACATCTAGGATGGGAGAGAAGCTTCAAGATATGAAGCCCTGTGTGGAATCTGATTAAGAATAGATTGTAATGGGCTGAAGGAGACCCATTGCATTTGCTTTGGATTGAAGGTGTTCATTAACCTTCAGTCTAATTTGCATGAAAAATGGAGGTGGTGAATAAAAACTCCTGCAGAGATCTTGGTTATTAAAGCTTAGAGATAAAGCTTAGAGAAAGTTAGGATCAGAAAACTTGGGCATAGATTTTTGTATATGTAAGAGGAGATGATATGGGAAAAGAGCAGAATGGGCTTTGAGAGATGTTGATGTATGAATATTTTTTAAATTCTTTTTCTACAAACTTCACCTAATTATAGGAGTCCATAGGTGCTTACCACAGAAAACTTGAAACACTACATGTAGATCTCACAACCTTTCTAGCATTTTCTGTTTCAGTTCCTATTCTGATAGCATGGAAAGCCTGTATATTCCATGGGTTTTTTGTTTGTTTTTGCTTTTTTTTTTTTTTTTTTTTTGTATTTTATTTCAGGGTGTTTTGTTTTGTTTGTTTGTTTTTCGAGACAGGGTTTCTCTGTAGCTTTGGAGCCTGTCCTGGAACTTACTCTGTAGACCAGGGTGGCCTAGAACCCATAGAGATTTACCTGCCTCTGCCTCCCGAGTGCTGGGATTAAAGAAAGGTATGTGCCACCAACACCGGGCCAGGGTGCTTCTTAATAGAAAAAAGAATTGTCTTAATAGAAAAAAATTATGTTTCTGTCTTTAGCTTAGTTGGTAAAGTACTTGCCTAGCATGTTCAAGGTCCTGGCCTTGGTCCCTGAGAACCACATAAAACAATGTACAATGAAAAGAACCAAGGAAGAAACACCTTGCCCCTGACTAGACTTGTGACTGGGCAAAGGGAAAACACCCTGACCCTGACGTGACCCTAAGACCATGGCTTGAAATCCCACCAATCCTTGCACTAGTCCCAGAATCAGGCCACAAAAACCTACCAATTCCAAGCCACCCTGGCAAGATCCCCCTACTCCCAAGAAACCCTATGTAAGCTCTGTGCTTTGTTCAGTTTGCCATTGCTTTTCACTCTAGAGGCAGGCACCCTCCTGGAATCTTCCTTCCCAATAAGTCTCTTGAGTGAGGTTTGTTGTGTGGTGTGAAATTTTTGCCAAGATAGCACCATATAAAACCATACAATCCATATGGTCCATAACACCGTATGGTCCCCAAGCACCATATAAAACAGCTTGGGGGCAATTGCCTGTAATCTTAGCACCAGGAGGTATAGAGGTAGGAGTATCAGAAGATCTGGGTCATCTTCAGCTACCTAGGGAGTTTGAGCCAGCCTAGACTACATAGACTATGTCTCAAAAAAAAAAAATAATTAGGGTTTTTTGTTTAGTATTTTAATGACCCCATGATGGATGATCCATTAACTTAACTGTTGTGCTTTTTTTGTATGTGTATTTTGTCTTTGTAATTAATTATTAGAATGAAGTATAGTTAAACCTAAATTAGTGTTCACATTTATTCTGAGAATAAAACTCTGGGAGTAAGATTTCTAGAACAAAGTGTAAATAGCCAAAGTTTTTAACACCTGTCACTAAATTGAAAAGTTCCTCATAATAGGAGATTATTAGATGGCATATGAAACTGTGGAATCTGCTGTACTCTATCCAGCTGTTCCACAGAACAGAAGGCATTAAAGGAGAGAGCCTTCTAAAGGGAATGTGGGGTTTCCCTCCTCATAGAATGGATGCGTCCTCCTTTTCTTGTACTCTTTTTATTCCATTCAAAAATTATTTTTCTTCTAGTTTCTTAACTGGTGAAGAAGAGAAACCTGAATGAACCCACCTCTTTTTTTTTTTTTTTTTTTTTTTTTTTGTAGGATATAGAAGATTTGGATCACTATGAGATGAAGGAAGAAGAGCCTATTAATGGGAAAAAGTCAGAGGACGAAGGGATTGAGAAAGAAAATTTGGCAATATTGGAGAAAATCAGGAAGACTCAAAGGCAAGACCATTTAAATGTAAGTGTGACTGAGTATCTAAAACTTGAACTTGGTTAAATAATTACAGATAATAATTGGGTAATACTTTCCTTAGCTGCCCTCTGTTTACATCCTACCTTGGTGGTGGATTCAATAATCATTTGTTTTGTTGACCTAGGCTACTGCTTCTGATTGTTGACAGCTGCTTTCTATCCTGTTAATCTGTTCTTCATATCTTAGAAACATATGCTGCTATTTGTATAATAATATCTGATGGTTAGTTTTAATTGTTAACTTGACATAACCTAGAATTAACATGGGATTTACGTTGGATCGGCCTATGGATATGCCTGTCAAGGAACTCTCTAAGTTAACTGTTATGGAAAGACTTCGCCCATTGTGGGTGACACCATTTCTTAGGTAGGGAGTCTTGAACTCTGTAGAGAGGACAAAAGCTGTTTAAAGTTTCTTCCTTGACTTATCCAAAGTGATAGCCTGTGACATGGAATTGTAGGCTGAAATAAACCGCATTCTTTCCTGTTTCGAGAATTGTAGTTGGTCTGATAATAACCTGGAGTCAGATATTAGAGGGGGAAGCTAAAAGATCAGAGAAGCAAAGCAGCCAGCCACTAGCACTTACCTCTACCTCAGACTAAAAGGGCAATCCTGTCTCCACCAATCCTCAGACTGACTGCCTAGACTACCTGTTTCCTCCCGCACCTAGCCATATCCCCTCCTGTCTCCACCTCCTTAGTGCTGGGTTTAAAGCTGTGTTGCTCCAGTGCTGGGATCACCTTTGGGTGAGCTCTGCTTCTCTTTTAGATGGATCAATACCGTGTAGCACAGGGTGGCCTTGAACTAACTGAAATTAGTCTGCCTCTTGTCTCCCAAGTGCCCAAGTGCCTGCTCCAATTAAATAAAGGTGTGTGCCACAATTGCCTAGCCTCTATTGCTAACTAATGTGGCTAGCTTTGCACTCTGATCTTTAGGCAAACTTTATTAGATCATAAACAAAATACCACCCATCTCCTCTAAGTTGGTTTTTGTCAGGGTATTTTTATGGTAACAACAGAGAGGAACCTAGAAGAATCCTCTTTGCATTTTATTGTTATTGTTGCTTTACTTATTCCCTTCCATGGTTTCTGTATGTTTAGAATCAGCCTCCTACTGAATATTAACTGACACTGTCTCCCCATAAATCTGACTTCTGTTTTTTGTGTCTAAATCGAGAAGTAACTTCTCTTTGGATTTACTTAACCTAACCACACCCCTCACTCTGTATAGATCAGGCTGGCCTTCAATTCAGAGATCTGCCTATTTCTGCCTCCTGAGTGCTGGGATTAAAGGTGTGCATCATCATGCCAGGTGATTTACCAAGTCTTTTATGAGAAGCAACATAGCAATATGAGATTCACTGTTTGGTGACAAACATGCTTGTGTGACTTCAGATTGTTCAGCTTTAAAATGTAGGCAGACAATGTATGACTTGTGAAAAATTTAAGTGTCTCTCTCTCTCTCTCTCTCTCTCTCTGTGTGTGTGTGTGTGTGTGTGTGTGTGTGTGTGTGTAGTGAGTATGCAGTGGTACTCTGGTTGTATGATACCTACTGCCTTGAATTAAAGCAACTTTTTAATTCTGGGCCAGCGGCTTTGTTTTGGGCAAACATAGTGAATGACTTGTTATCCAAGTTAATATGAAGAATTGTAACAAGTAAATTCTAATCCTTCAATCATAATTAATATGCTAATTTAATTGGCAAGTCTTCTGTTGTAGACAACTATTAACATTAAGCCCACATCTTTATTAGTAAAGTAAACTTGTAGCATCTGAAATAATACTTTATTTGGTATGCCTTATAATGGACTCCAGTTTGTATGCTTTATAGTTAGAACAGCTACAAATTATTGAATACTCTGACATGATAAATGTTGTAAGGCTTAAGTGCTTTATATTACCTTCCCATTTAATTTTCATAGCTGTTGTAGGAAATAGGCTCTCTTCATATTTTATAGATGTAAAAAACTAGGGCTTAAAACCAGTTCTAGGGTTGGGAGATGGCTCAATGGTTAAAGCAGTCACCTCCCAAGCAGAAAGTATTAGGATTGGTGTTTGGATCCCTAGAACCCACATAAATGTTGGGTGTATACAATGGCCAGCAAAGACGGGATTCCCTAAGTAAGCTGGCTAGTTACACTACATTGTAGTTCAATAAAAAGACCTTACCTCAAGCCAGGCAGTGGTGGAGCATGCCTTTAATCCAGCATTGCTGAGGCAGAGGCAGATCTCTGTGAGTTTGAGGCCAGACCGATCTACAGAGCTAGTTCCAGGACAGGCAGGGCTACACAAAGATCCTGTCTCAAACACACACACACACACACACATACACACACACACACACACACACACACACACACACACACACACACACACACCAAAAAAGACCTTACCTCGGTGAATAAATGGGATGGCAACCAAGAGTCACATTTACCTTCATCTTCAGAAATATCCCAGTGTTGTGAAGAAAGCCAAGCTGTGTGAAGATAGTATACTGTTCTTATATTTTAGCTAGGCCCAGAGTATAACTTCTTATCTTATTAATTGGAACAATGTTTTAGTAATGCTGTGTCATGGCAAGGGCCTTCTAGCATTTTGAGAAGTTGTGGTTTGGAATAGACTCATAACTGTCACAGAGTCTGGTGTTCTGGACACGCTGTGAAGTCTCCTCGTGATATGAACAAGCTAGACACATCTTCAGTTTCCTGTTTTTCTTGACTTCATAATCCTTTATTTGGTTGAGTGCCTTGACTTCTTTTTGACTTATTTTTTTCTTTTCTGTTTTCTTTTTTTCCCTCAGACAGGGTTTCTCTGTTTAGTTCTGGCTGTCCTGGAACTCAGTCTATAGACCAGGCTGTCCTTGAACTCAGATCTGCCTGCCTCTGCTCCCCAGTTGCTGGGATCAAAGACGTGCATCTCCTCTGCCCGGCACATCTTGACTTCTTAATGCTAAGTGGTGATCATTTTCACAATGCTATTGTAAAGTTTTACATGAGACTCTGATACTTTAAGCTTTTAATTATGGATGTTTCAGGGTGCAGTGTCCGGGTCAGTGCAAGCATCAGATAGACTCATGAAGGAGCTCAGGGATGTCTACAGATCACAGAGCTACAAGGCAGGTGAGGCCCTGGCTCTGCTGCCCATTTGCTTCTTCAGGTAGCGTTGTTTGCTTTTTATTTTGCTTTCCATCTGGGGAGTGATAGGGGACCATTTACCCTAAACTGGCTTTGAATTCACTATTTTTCTTTTCATTAATGATGGGGTTAGATTTGTGTGCCAGCACACCCAGTGTAGATATTATATTGGTAGACAGAGTTGGAAATTTTTATTGACTCTATTTTAGAGATGTGAAATTCTGGTTTCACCAAGTTCTAAGGTAGGTAAGAGATAAAATGAGTGCATTTTTTTGTATCTCCTTCCTGATGGAGATACAACTCATGATTTTTATCTTGAGTAATACTACTTTTTAAAATAAGTAAGGTTAATATACTTTGTTGTACAAGGAAAAACTTGCTGAATTTATTTTCATATACAGAGTTTTCTTATTTTGAAACAATAAAACTTAACTATAGGAGTGGTATTCTTTTAAAAAAAAAATTGCTAGATTTCCTCATTTCATAAATCCATGGAGAAAATGTTCTTTTTCAGAGCTGGAGTTGTAGTTCGTTGGTAGAATACTTGCCCGGTAATGGGGTCCTGGGATTCAGTCCTTAGCAGCATGAATTAAAAAACAAATAAACAAACAAATAAATAAAAGTTTTTTTTTTCTTTTTCTCCTTATCCAGTAAGATTTGAGTATTTTAGAGCCCCAGGAAAAAAATGTAGAGCTGTTTGAAAGATTAGCAGTAAGGGCTAGAAAGTGGTTAAGAGTACTTGATGCTTAGGTCGGGTGACCCGTGTTCAGTTCCCAGCAGTTATGCCAGAGGGTCACAGCTGCCTCTAACTCCAGGTCTAGGGTATCTGACCTCCTTATGCCACATAGGTGGCATACACATATATAAAATCATAAACAAAAAATAAAGTTATATTCTGTAAAAAGCTTGAAAAAAATACATAAAGGTGAAGATTAAAGTAGTTTATATAGAAGGATTCCATTTTTTAGAAGTAGTGTATATATAGAAATAAAGTGAGTAGTAAGCAGTCTTTAATTCATTAAAGTATCTTTTAGTTGATAGCTTTAATTATTCTCATAGTAAAAATTTTCTGCTATTAGCTGTTTTAGTATATTTAACATATACTTATACCAGAGTAATACATAATCAGATGAAGAGTAACCAGTGTGCCCTATGTCTCCACAGGGATTTATTCAGTGGAACTAATAAATGACAGCTTATATGACTGGCATGTCAAACTACACAAGTAAGTGCCTTTTGTGCTGACCTACTTTTTACAATGAAATGTTTGGTTTTTGTTTTTATTTTTTTTCATCAGTTTTATACTTTTATATTCTGGCATTTATTTGGACATTCCTACTCTGGAAGTAGTTGTTAGATTATGAAAGTTAGTTATTTCTGAGTAAAGTCAAGGAGGAAGATGAGTGATGAGTGATAGAGGGGCATAAAGTGTTTTGAGCCAGGGACAATTTACAAACAACGTATTCAGATAACGTGAGACTGTGGTATATTGTTTATGTTTGAAGTAAGGAGATTTAGGCAGTACATATAAAAGAGTTTAAAAAAAATTTACAGTGATTTACTTAACATGGTTTTTATTGATGGTAAATTTCTTTTCCTAAACTTAGTTAAAATATAATTTTAGGAAAGCATATCATCAAAAAGATTTTGAGTTGTTTGAAAAATTATGTGTATCCAACTGTTGTTCTTTGAAATGACTGTTATTTAAAATTCCCTTTTTTCCCAAGGAGCTAGAGCCCATCATGATCCATTTTTTTTTTCTGGGACTGTGGAACACTTTAAAACTTCTGTCTGGAACTTACCTGGGGGCTCTGTTGTCCCTCTTGGACTGGTTCAATTTGAGCTGAATAAGAAAGGTTTTTCTAGCCTTGTTTGAACTGTCTTTTGTTTTGTTATTCTTAGGGTTGACTCTGATAGTCCTTTGCACAGTGATCTTCAGATCTTAAAAGAAAAAGAAGGCATAGAATATATTTTGCTTAACTTCTCTTTTAAGGTAAGAACACTGTAATGGGATTCCATGTTCTTGTAATAGGACTGTGTAATTGACTCAGCAGTCTTGGAGAAAATTTGGTATTATTTGGAAAAAGTAGAAGATATTTATACCCTATAGTTCAGGATCGATGTATCTATTTGTCTGTCTGTCTGTCTATCAGTCATCTATCTAGTGTCTTACTGTGTAGTCTCAGCTGGCCTGGAATTTACTGTCTAGACCAGGGTAGCCTCAAACTCAGAGAGGTCTTCATGCCTCTGCCTCCCAAGTGCTGGGATTAATTGTTGATACTGGGCCTGACTAGTTACAGGAATTTATGAGGCATATATTCCACAAGATATGCATGCTCAGACACATCAAGAAACATAAGCAAGCATGTTCAGAGCAGCATTGTTTGTCCTAACCCCAAATCAAAAATAATCCAAGTTACAGTAGTAAAGTGGAGAGTATGGAATCTATGAGATAAATCTATTGAGAAGATAAATCAGTCTTCCCTACAGTGTTAAGCAGAAGAAACTAGACTGGACTCGTAGTCATTTTGTTTAGTTCCATTTATATAGAGTTCAAAAATTTGTATTCTATAGGATATGCGTTGTCAGCGCAGGTAGGTGAAAATTGGTCCTTTAAATGACATTCTTAGGTATTATAATGGTCTTTAGCCATTAAATGTACATATGCTGAAATTCCATGGGGCAGGAGATCCTGGCACAATTAGGAAAAAAATTCTAGGAAGACTTCTTAGGTAAGCAACAGTGAGAGAAGAAAGCTCAGAAACGCTGAAGTTGGTGCTCATGCCTGGGCAACAGAACAAGAGAGCAGAGGTGTAATCAGTCACTGTACATATTAACGAAAGGAGTTGCTGAGTGGAGAGGGACATCTGCTGTCTTCCTGCTTGCAGACTGTTTTACTGATAGAGTGTTAGTCACATGGATCTCCACTTTACAATAAAATACAGTAAAGGTATCCTGTATATTTATGTTCCTTTCTGAATTTGTTTTACAAGTAATTCTTTTGAAGATGTTAAAAATAAAAGTTAAAAAAGAAGAGTAATGGGCTCTAGAAAAAATGTTAGTGATTTAATGTATAATATGGTAAAATCTAATGATTGAAATTTTTAACTAGATTGAGGTGCTTTGAGGATTTATGTTGATGTGATAATAAGGCATCTCATCGCCATGTTCTGAGTTGAAGAAGTGGATTCATATAGCAGTCATCTTGCAATAACATTGTTTGTCCACATTAGTTTACCCAAGTAACTTTGAATTGTCTCATGCTATTTAAGGATTTGGGGATAAGGGAGCTGGCTATTGGACTTTGGAGAACATGCTGAAAAGCCTGCAGTCTCTGGGATCTGCCCTTTGTGATGTAAACCACATGGAGGGTTTTATTTAAAGGCAGTTGGTCTGTTCAGTTTCTGGTTTTGTCTTAAACACTCATCATGCTTTCAACAGCTCTAGTTGATTGTATGTAGTTGATTTTTGGGAGACTAGTTGGAGGCTTTAATTTTAATCCTAGCAAGAAGTGTATGGTGTTGGTATAGTAGGTAAAATAGGATTTAAGATATATTGAAGGAAGAAAATACATACATTGAAGAATATTTTCTTTACATATAGAATTTGTAAACATCTTTTTTAGTTGAATCCCAGAGCACAGTTTATGGAGAAGTCTCTAAGCTCTGAAGTAGACTTACTTTATGAAACTTAATGTCTTTCTCAAGTAATCAAGAGAGATTTTTATAGTTACTCATTTGGGATCATGTATCAGTGTTTTCATTATACTATTAAAAATTATAGTAGATTTTCAAAGTAGATTCAACAGTCATTAAGTTGGCAGTATGTATGGCAGGCAGATGTCTTTATATCTTGCAGTAGACATCTAAGATGATCCATTTTAGCCATTAGAAACATGCCTGCTCTGTTAGGAAGACTAGATTTTCATAATTTCTATGTTCTTGGGAATCTTGTAAGCAGGCAGGAGAAGTTACTGAAAATATGGTAATTATTTTTCGACTTTTGTCTTCTTGGAAATAATTGGCTGAAGCGTATTTGTTTGTATCTTGCCTCAAAATGAGCTTTTAAAATAGCATTACTTCCCTTTAAATCATGTTGTTTGGACATAATTTCTTTTAGACTCCCTTGGTCTCTTTTCTACAGGAATGGGAAGCCATTTGACCACTCAGCTGCTGTAGGACGTTACTGGCAGCTTTCCTGACCTGGTTGTCAGGGGACTAACGTCTAACATTCTTGACTACTTTATCCACTGTCTGCATGATGTGACATGGCTCTCCACCTTTTTAGGGTTGGAGAAGGGACAGGTTCTCTGACTAGCCTTGGAGTTCTCCAGTTTGTCTAGGGTGTCTGTTCAGTGAGCTATGAGATCCTCCTGTCTGTGCCTCTCCTGTGCTAGAGTCATGGGCATGTACTGACATACCTGGTTTCTTTGTTTCTGAGGTTAGAATTCATGTTCTGTGCTTGTACAGGCATCTCCTCAGCATCACCTTTGACTTTTAATGCAGCTTAGCCATTGTTTTGAAAATCTACCATATGATAGGTGATTTCTACTTGCTGTTTTTTTGTTTGTTTGTTTTGTTTTTGTGTTTGTGTATGTGTGTGTGTTATGCCTCTGGCCCCTTTAGATTTTCTTAAAACTCCCATTTCCCATGTATTAGCTTGGTGATTATATGTCCTCTTACTCATCCATATGTATCCTTGAATTGTCAAAGTTCAGTATTCATCTTTTGCCCTTGTAATCTCATAGCCTTAGAACATTTGAGTTCATGTGCTCAATACATGTATTTACATCCTATACTTGGATCTGGGACCAGACAAATTTGGAATTTTCATGCTTTTTATTCTCCAAGGTTGTAGTTAGCATGATCTTATTCCTGCGTAAAAAATACTGTTGAGTATTTCTTTTTAATACGCTTTGCAGGTGGGAAAAGAGATGTGTTTTTATTTCTTTTTCTTTGAGACAAGGTCTTGCTATGAAGCACAGACTGTCTCAAACTTGTTACTTTCTTCTTGATGGCTGGAGTTACAGGCATGTGCTGCTTTGACTGGCTTTAATTGCATTTTTGAGGAGTATAGATTTTTTTTTTTAGGTTGGCAAGTTGCCAGTTCCTTTCAGCACCTTGGAGATACCTTTCTCATCACCGAAGACTCTAGTCTTTCCTGAAAGTGCTACAGTGGCCAAACCTTGAAGAGTTTTTGAAAAATTCTCATCCAGTTTTCTTGCCCCCTCCTCTTTCTAAGACTCAAATGTCTGATAAACCTTGAGTCTTGTTATTTTCTGCATTTCCCACCTTTTCTACCTTTTTTGGCCTTTCCTAACTTCATTTTGGATGTGTGATGTATTTTTCTATTTACTGAATCTTTTTTTCTTCAGTTTGTTGCATAGTCTCAGTCACCTATTAATTAGGTTCTTCTTGTTGCTATAGCTCCAGATTTCCAGAATCTGGTGGGTTCTGTCTTACTATGCGCAGTTCTGCCGAGGTTTGAATTATTCTTCTCTTACTTCTAGATGTTCAGTTACTCTAACATGCTTGCTGACTCTGGTTTTGTTGTTCTGCTTCTGTCTTCTCATTGTGTTGTCCTTAAGTGTAAGTCTTGTTAAGATGGGCTTATATCTGAAAGATTGAAGAGGAGTTTACAATATTGCATAAGATCTTCCCTGGTGGGAATTAACATTTGCCCTGCTAGCACCTCAGACAGTGGGGACACCTAGAGAATCAGTGATGGAGAGAGCTGAGATCCAGACTTGACTCCCTGACATGGCAGTTGGCTGTTGGTTCCCTCAGGGCCCAGCCTGACTTGCAGAAGGTCCCCAAGCCTTTCTTTGGCGTTTTGCAGTCTACTTCTTGCCTCCCTGGCTGTGGGTCTGCATTCTGCTATTTGCTAACCTCTTCTGTAGTGGGAAGAAAAGACCTCTCCTGGGCCTGCCCACAGCCATGCTACTTGGTGTACAATGTGAGTTAATGTAGCACTGTTATTCTGTCCTGACCTGAGTTCCACATTTGACATTTTTATTTACTTTTTTCTCATCTGCTACTAATTTCACTTTTATGACTTCTATATTGCCAGGTAATATTGCCAGGTAATAGAAGGATACATTTCTTTATTGATTATTTGAAAACCTCCTAAATAATGCAAAATTAAAAATGTTCTTAAAATTAAACTTTTCTAGGATAATTTTCCATTTGATCCTCCATTTGTTCGAGTGGTGTTACCTGTTCTCTCAGGAGGGTAAGTTACATATTTACTTTTTTGTGATCATGTGTGTCAGGGTCCTTTTCAGAACTAGCTGGACTCTGGGAGAGTAGGATTGCTGGACTGCTGCCAAAGATTCTGTGTCATGTAGGTTGAGGGGCCAGAGAATTTACATTTCTAAGATCTTCCCAGATGAAACTGATAGCACTGGCTTGTGCTACATTCACACTGGTACAAGTTAGTTATTTATAAGTAGACATTTTAATGGAGTTTATTTATAGATATTGACCCTTAAGAAATGGGTTTTAGCTGAGTGTGCCTGCTTGTAATCTCAGACTGTTAGAAACCGATGCAAGATTTCCAGTTCCAGGCTAGCCTTGGCTGTACAGATTTATCCATCCACCCATCCTCTAGACATGGATATTAGATAATATAGTCAATATTTATCAAGATCTTGTCTTTTAAAAAAAGCATTTTTCAAATATAAATCATTGAGGATTTCAGGAAAGTTAGTTATTGTAGTTCCCACAGGTCTGTGGGTAATTGGGAAACCTGAGGTGACTGGAGCTGTTCCCAGCATAAATAGTTGTCACTTAGTATAGTTGACTGGTGATACAGCCATACTGAGTTTTATATTGCCTTTTGTAGTTTGGAGGTTATGGGAGGCATGGAAAAGATCAAGTTAATTATGAAATGTTTCATAGTCCCCCATATAGGAATCATTAAGCTGCCTGTAGGGGAGCAGGAGAGATGGCTCAGTTTTAGAGCAGTTGTTTCTCTTTCTAAGGACCTGACTTAGTCCCCAGCACCCATGTGAGGTGGATTCTAGCTACGTATCACTCTGGTTCCAAAGGATTTATCACCCTCTTCTGACTTCTGCAGGCACACGTGCACACACATGAATGAAAATAAATCTTTAAAAAATCCTTTGAGAATTTTCAAGTGAGATGATTCCTATTGTAATAATAAAATCTAAAAATATTGTCTCAGGCTGATATCATCTCTGTGTTTGATTCAGTAATGGGTTACATTTCTGTTAAAGTACTGGTGACTCCTAAAGGTAGACTTCAGAACTTCTTAGACTAGTCTCTTATAATATAGAAATAGATGTGCAAAGCAAATATAGGTATAAATGCTGTTTTTGAGATCATATCCTGCTAGGACTTCTCAGTATAGTTAGAATATAAACTGATGTTGGGATTGCAGAATACTGCAGAATGGCTATAGGGTACAGCTAAACAAACAAACAAAAAATATGTCCTTAAACAAATCTCTGTTTATGTAGTATTCAGTTATTTAGATGTCTGCAGCATCTTTAAGAGTTGGCTTAGCTGATGCCTGCAGCCCAGTCCTTTGCCATATCTCCCAGAATGTTCTGTGCTATATCAATAGGCTTTTTGGACAACAAACTCAAAGGGACTTCTTGGAGACTTGATGTTACTTTCCCACAGAGACACTAAATGACTTCTCCCAGGTCTGTTTTCCACAAAGATGCTAAATAACTTCTTCTAACAATTTCCCCTTCCCTGTGGCATCTCAGAAAATGACTTCCTTTGTTTCCACTGTTTGAGAAGAGTTGCTCTGTCAGAATCCCAAAGTTCTGAGGAATGCACAGCAAAGCTGAAGTAATCCCTTAGGGATCCTACTGCTGCTTTTGGCATGCTATTACAGTGCTGTTCACAGATACTATGAGAATGAATGGAGATCACAAGCTAAGACCATAGAACAAAGATATTTAGAGTTGTGAAGATTCATTTTCTTACCTTTAGACATTCCCTACATGCTTTCATAAAGCATATGACCACTTTTGGAAGGAGACTATTAGGTAACCTAGCCAAATATTTATATACACAAAATAAACAGAGGTTGGAAATATGGTCAATTTTAAACTTTTGTATATCTTGCTCAAAATCCCAGCCTTCACAATTAGTGTTGCTATAACATTATAAATTGTGTAGCAAGTCATCTTTTCCTCCTTCTGGTAAGCATATTTAACCATGAATATTGAATCCATCATTAACTGGTACAGGAAAAGGGAAATAACAATTATAAAAAAATGTTCTAGGAGTAGAAGAGATGGCTCAGTTGGTAAAATGTGTGCTGAGAATCTAGGACTTGAGCTCAGATCTCAAGAACTCACATAAAATCTAGGTATGGTGGCTTGTGCCTATAATCCTAGCACTGAGGAAGTGGAGGCAAGGAGAAATCCTTGAAGCTGGCTGACTAGCCAATTTAGCCAAACTGATGAGCTCCAGGTTCATTGAAAAGACCCTATCTCAAACAATAAGATGGACAGCTGAGATTTACCTCTGGCCTCCATACCGAGATGTGTACATAACACACACACACACACACACCACATATACACAAAAGAAAGGAAAAAGCATTCTAGAGAGATGGATCCTCTATAACAGTACAAAGAATATGGGATGGTGACATGACACTAGTTGAGATCCTGTGCTACTACTGTCTTAGGATCAAGTGACAGAAACCTAAATTGATGTAGAAAGAGGAGCAAAATATGAAAGCCCATGTATTCTGTTCCATTTGTTTGACAGTAATGACTGTAAAGATTTGAAATTGTCCCCAATCTTATGTCCCTAACAACACTTTTATTGTTTTATGTTACCTTTCTTAGTAATGCTTGAGAAGTTAAGGAATATTGATATTTAGAGGACTTTGTATGCTTGTTTTCTTTTTTTGAAGGTATGTGTTGGGTGGAGGAGCATTATGTATGGAACTTCTTACAAAACAGGTAAAATTCATTGTATTTTGAGCTCAGTCCATGTTGGAACAACTTCTGAAAGTAATATTTATTGAAATTTATAATTCACTCAGGATCAGATCTTTAGAACCCAGGATTGTTTGTGAGATCCTAGAAATGGTCCAATATTTTCCTCTTCACTACAAATTTGTTAGCATTGATTTGCTGTCAATGGGGGCCTCTGTGATGTTTTGTTAGATTTTCCAGAGTGGGAATTGTGAAGATCGCTGTGTTTTGTTTTGTTTTTTGTTCCTGTAGGGCTGGAGTAGCGCCTACTCTATAGAATCGGTCATCATGCAGATCAATGCCACCTTGGTGAAAGGCAAGGCCCGAGTGCAGTTTGGAGCAAATAAGGTACTTTGTTCAGAACTCCCCAGACATGCAGAGGTGTCCTCATGCTAGCGTAGGTCACATGTCAGTCATATTTCTGTCTCAATTCTAGTTTTAATAGTTATTTTTACGTCTATGAGTGTTTTACCTGGGTGTATGTGTCTGTGGACCATGTGTGCCTGGTGCCTTCAAAGGCCTGAAGAGGGCATGAGATGAACTACAATTAGAGACAGTTCTGAGTAACCATGTGGGCCATTGGAATTGAACTTGGGTCCTCTCTAAGAACAAATGCTCTTAACTGATGAGCCATCTCTCCAGCCCCCTGTCTCAATTCTTTTTGAGGTACTTTAATTTTCATTTGATTTTCTAGTTTTAGAAAAGTGAAGGTAGGAAACACCGATGTGTAAGAGATGTTCATTGCAGTCGCTTAACCCCACTTAATCTTTGATATTCACAGACATTTAGGTTGAGTTCAATATTGTTAACGAAAGGAAAAAGCCTGAGTGTACTTTGATTTTTCTCTAAACTGAGGCCATGTTAGCATCACTAATTTTCAGTGAAAGTATACACTAGCTTTTTAACCCTTTTGATAATCTACGAGAAATATTCTGTTGTCTTCATTTTATGGATGAAGACACAGGGTGGATAACTCTTGAGTTCATGGGGGCAAAACAAGGGTTTCAGCCAGGGAGGTGGAGTCTGTGCATTTGCTGAGTTGTGTGCTGAATTTACTTACTGTACTAGAAGGGTTCTTCCAGGTGAAAGTGTAGCCATTCATAGAGATTTCTATGATTGTTGTTTTTTAAAAAACCTTTGTGTGACGTAAATAACCTTGATCTGATGATTTTTAAACAGTGAATGTTTTCCCTAAAGTTAAAGTTCTCTGTGAATTTGCATTGTTTGTTCAAGTAGCTTAAAACTTAAAACTTAGATATATACTCATACTGCACTTGAAATTATGAGTCTTTTTTTTTTTAAAGAAAGTTAATCCACAAAGAAAGCAAAAATATTTAAAGGTCATTTTAAAAAATCATTATTTGGGATGATAATGTTGCTTTAACTGTTTTAACAGCAGTTTGTTTGTACTGGGACGAAATGCTGTTTGTTTAAAATCCATAAGTTAGACTATTCACCAGTGTTCGAGAATTTATATCGAACCAGAATTTGTTAACCAATATATGTGAATCTGTGCTTTTATTTTAATGTAACAATAAAATGGTTATGTAATATAGCCTGAAAACTTTTAAAGGATAAAATATATGCTTCCTCACGCAAACTTCTTAAAGCAGATAACATCACAAAAACCTGAGATGGTAGTTTGTAATTTTGAATGTCTAGAGAAATAAATACACTAGGCATTACCATGTCCCAGTATTCAGTGCTTTCTCCTAATACCTATGCATATATAGAATTTGATGTTAAATTTAATAATTAAAAAAATTACCATGTTTTTCATTTTTAGAAGAGAAAAGAAAATCGGAAGGGCATATAACAGTGATTTCTTTCTTTTTTTGAATAATTGAAACTTTGTCAGTACACTGTGCAGACTTCTCTTGAGAGATGTGTATCAAATACAGTGGGCCAGGGTAATTTAAGTCCTCTAGTTTTGAAATTCTAGAACACCAGTATTCTTTATTCAGTGCTATAAATCTTAGATTCCATTTCAATTACTCTAAAGCTACATGTTTTCTATGATATGCAGTTTTCTTGGCAAGTAAGAAAAAAAGCATTATCCATCAGACTCTGAGTCAGGCTGTTGTGTACTTACGTATATTGAAACATTCATACATGGCGTACACTAAGATATCTTTTTGCAGTTTTATTATGTAAATCATAGCCGCTAAGATGGCTGTGATGACATATAGCAGATAGGATCTTTTGGGACCATCATCCTGTGTGTTGGTTTTTGTTCATGGTTGACACATGCGGTTAGTTGTAGCACGAATAATAAAAAGCCAGAGACAGATACTGGGGTTAAACCTGAAGATCAGAAAAGCAAAGCAGCTACTAGAGAGTTCTCACCTCCACCAACACTCAGACCAAAGGGCTGATCCTGTCCTCAGACTGCACTGAGCTCCTGTCTCCTCCCACCTATGTTCCTCTCTAGTGCTGAGATTGCCTTTGTGTGAGCTCTGTTTCTCTTTAGACTGGATCAATTTCGTGGAGCTTAGTGTGGCCTTGAACTAACAGAGATCTGTCTGCCTCTGTCTGATTAAAGGTGTGGCTAGCTTTGTACACTGTTCTTCAGGCAAGCTTTATTTGTTTATCATAAACAAAATATTATGCATGTTGGTGCATTAGAAGGTGAATTCAGTGAAATTGTAAGGTAAAACATCACTCTTTTTTTAATTAAAAAATATTGTCAGTTAATAAAGTGGAAACTTTGCACAATATAATAGAAGTTTCATATTCCTGAATTCTAAACCCTGCAGGGAATAGTGTAAACATTAACTTTTTAAAAAAAAAAAAAAATCACAAAAGCCTGACCTGGTGTTGCATGCCTGTGATTGTAGAAGTTGGGATGCTGAATCAAAGCAACTCCACAGAGGTGTCTGATTACCACATCCAATAATCAATATTTTAAATAGTGCTGTGGATTTGTGTGTGCATGTGTATGCAGTGGTGATAGCAATGGGGAGGAAAGGAGAGCTGTGTAAATATGTTTGTATCAGTGTAGACTGTCTTGGGAAGAACATTCAAATGCCAATAGCTGTTGTTTCTGATAAGGGGGTTTTGAAATACTGGTGTGGTCAGGGTAGAGATGAGATTTGAATTTTGTGTTCTTTAATTTTTTGCCATATATTTATTATTTCTACTTGGTCTTAGTAAAAAAGCCAAAAATATGATATTTTAAATGATATTGTCAGCTATTAGCTCAAAGTAATTGAATGTGTGTGCTTTCAAAAAGCTGAATTAACTGAGATAAATTTACACATATGCCAGAAAACAGTTCCTCTCAGCAGACATGATCAAGGTCAGGTTGTCTGAATAGGCTGAGAACTTGGTAGCGCTGTACAGGCAGGAGCTTGTGGAGAGGTGGAAGTACAGTCAGTCATTTGTCAGCTCCCACACTTCCCGACAGTGCTTAGCCAGCAGGAGTGAGAACAAGCTATGACCTTAGAAAGATGGCAGCTACGTTGTTGCCAAGTTGTTTCCAATTCAATTACTAGGAAATAAAAGCTGTAGCATTAATTTGAGGTTATATAAGTAATAAATTCTTCCAGGGTGTACTGGCTTGTTCATGGAAAGGCAGTCCCTAGCACTTGGGAAGCTAAGGATGGAGGATTGCAAATCTGAGGTCAGCTGGACTACACCATGAATTTTAGGCTCAACTGGGCTGTAGAAGGCGATCCTATCTCCAAAAACATAAATAAAGCAAGCTAATACTCTTAAGTGAGCATGTAACAGAGGGAGTATTAGTGAATGATAGTGAAATCCTCGAGCACATAGCCTTCAGGGCAGTGCTGATCTTGTTTCTACACTCAGGACAGGCATCCTTCTGTTGCTGTCATGCTCCTGCAGATCCCTGAGTAGTGCTCACACCCAGGAGAGATGTGTTTTTCTTCCATCTTTTCTGGTGCCAGGGAGTGACTAAGCAGCCTAGTTTTGTATTTATAAGTGAGCCAAGTTGCAGTGCCAAATAGAAGAATCTTGATCTCACAGGCTGTTATGGTTCCATGTTAGCTGGAGTCACAGCTCTCACAAAAGCAGAAAAGTGCTTCTAGCTGAAGCTTATAGGCCTCCCAAAGATTAACATCAAACAAACGGAGTTAAAGATCACATCTAGGCCACTCAGGCCTAAGACAATAGGGGTAAGGGCCACAGTTATAGCTTAGTGGTGGAGTGCTTACTTAGCATGTGTTCAATCCCCAATACCACAAAATACAAAATACAAAACCAACACAAAATAGAGACTTTAGTCATGTCAGAGCTGGAAAATGGAAGCTGGGTACATGGTCACATGCCTATCACCCCAGCACTTAGAAGATGGAGGCAGGAAAATCAGAGGTTCAAGTTCATTTTTGGCTACATAGTGAGTCCATGAGACCCTATCTCAAACTACATGAGACCCTATCTCAAAAAAACAAAGAAAAGAAAACATTTAAAAAGGGAATGGTGTTGAGAGAGATCTGAAGAATTTAACAGCACATACAGAATAGCATAAAATTGGGGAGAAAAACCCTGATAAACACAGGGAGCCTATAGTGAAGCACTTGAGCAAGGCCTCAGCGTTGCAAAAGCTTGTTCTTGATGCAGCAGCTCTATGCTAGATGGTTTTTGCCAGTACTTGGCAATTACAGGGTGTGTCTTTGGACAAGAGCTGTGCATGAATGTCTTAGCAAAATCTTTCAAGAGAGGTACAGGATCGTCCTTCCGCAGTTTCTCACTCAGAGGAGAGGACTGAAGAAAGGCAAGTGTGCTGTCCACCCATTCCCCAGTCCTTGCCCATAGCAATCAGATGCAACAGGGGCAGGAACTCGGTTTATTGCATCAAGCAGGGACTTATATAGGTTGGAGTATTGGAGTAGGGGGAAGGAATCTTATGATGGGGTAAGGTGACATGAAGAAAAAGAGGCAATAATATTCCTCTAAGCTAGGTGTTAGCTAGGCAGGGGGCAGTCTTACATCAGGCCTTGCTGAGTCACTCCCACGTGGAGGTTACAGGCCAAAGACTGGTTGCCAAACTTTAGCCAGGCTCAGGAAGTTCCACTAGGCCTCGCGCCCAGGCCTCTTTAGGCCCAACAAAAGGTGTACAAGAAATTAGTAAATGTAGCTAACTCTAGTAGGGGTAGCGGGGATGGGAAGGGCGACTGTTTCTATATTGTGTTGTTGTTCTGCACTGTGTATTTGTCAATGCAACAAGTTGTATGATATGCTTCTGTAGGTGGGGCACTGAGTGCGTGTCTGATAATAACTGAAGTTAAGGTGTAAGCCATTCATGCTTATGGAACAAAATTCTGTCTGAACTTGGCTCCCTAGAGAAAATTCTTTATTTTAACCTAAAGAGGTAACTGTGTGACAATTGTGGGCATTCTTTATATTTCTAACTACATATATTTAGATGCATGGTTCCTGAGTCAGTGTCTTCTGAACTGAAAGCAGCATCTCATCCCTTTTGATGTAAGGAGAAGGAAGCGTTGGGATGTTATTACCACTGTGTTTCCATTAACTTGATCTGACAGTGTGGAGACACACTAGGACTATAAACCTACCTGCTTGACCAGTGGTAGGAAGACTTTAAAACAAAAACTCTGAAGTTTGTGGGGTTTTAGTGAAGTGCAATTTTGGTTTTGTTATTCCTATAAAATTGTAGCAAATATGGAAAGTTAATAACACAAATTCTCTGGGAAATGAAAATATCCTTTTAAGTACAGTAATGAAGTGTCCATAAATTTACTCTGGTTTTCATCTGCCACAGTTTTGACTTAATAATGTGTATTCTTTTTCAGAATCAGTATAATCTAGCACGGGCCCAACAGTCATATAATTCCATTGTACAGATACATGAGAAAAATGGTATGTTTAATTCAAGAAGTACTTTTTGCCATTCTTGAAGTTGTATACAGCATGCCTGTGTTTGCCTTGACCAATCCTGTGTTTTTGTCTTACATATTTTTTAATTAAATACTGTTAATTACAGTGGAAAAAAAACTTTTGCTGTATTCATAATCTTGCAACAAATCTTAACACTGCTTCTTTCTGTGCCCTGAAGACTTGCCCTAAGTGCCTTTGAGAGCCAAGAATTTAATTTAATGGATAAATCCCTTTGCTCACTTGAACTGTATTCTGCTATTTATTTATTTATTTATTTATTTATTTATTTAGGGACAGGGTTTCTCTGTGTACCTTTTAGATCAGGCTTGCCTCAAACTCACAGAGACCCGCCTGCCTCTGCTAGAATTAAAGGTGTTTAAAGATCGAAACTCTCACTGTAGTTGAGCAATTTAACAGGATCGTGACCATCTGCTTCTGAAACATCTTCAGATTTGTAGATTTGATAGCCTTCTCTTCCTAACTCCCTCAGGATCTAACCCAGAACCTCACTAGGCAAAAACATTCTACTACTGAGACACAGATTGTTTAGTCACCTGCTGTGCCCTTGCTCTTGCTTTGCTTCCCCACAACCCCTCCCTCCCTCCCTCCTGCCCTCCCTCCCTCCCTCCCTCTCCTCTCTCCCCTCTGTCTTTTTGTCTCTCATTTCACTTTTTGAGATAGGAATTCACTCTGCAGCCCAGGCAGGCCTTGAGTTTTGAACCCTTCTGTTTCAGTGTCCTCAGTAGCTGGGATTACAGGTCTGTGTCACCTGTCTTGGAAAACCTATTTGCAAGTGCCATTTATGTTCCTAGTTCTGTGGCCTTAAACACATGATTTATTTTAGATTTATTTGTGATTTATTTACAAAAGAAATATTTGTTTTGTGTGTATGTGTTTTCCAGCACACACTTTGTGTGGGTTCTGGTAATCAAACGTCGGTTGTCTGGCTCGGTGGCAAATGCCTTCACCCACTGAGCCATTTACCAGCGCCTGTGATCTCTTTTTGCCCCAGTTTCCTCATCAGTTGGCAAAGTGTCTCTTGGTAAACATGAGGAACAAGAATAGTGCCTATGCAGAGCACTCTGTAACCAAGTGCCCTGAACAAAGAATTCATTGTAGCGATGGGAGGGAAGCTAATGCTCTTTTGTGCAGATTCGATACCCTAAGGAAGTAGTTTTCCTTAGGGTGCGTATCTGTAGTAAATGGTCTTAACTTTCTAGAACTGTGTTAGGTAGGCTGGGAGTTAACCATGCAAACATGAGGCCCTGTGTTTATTCCCAGACTCATATGAAAATCCAGGTGTGACAGTAAATGCTTCTGATTCCACCTCTGAGGAGACACAGAAGGGAAGGAAGGATCTGGGGCTCTGTAGCCAGCCTGTGTGAATTATTGAGCTCTAGGTTAAAACCCTATCTCAAAAAGGGAGAGCAATTGTGGAAGACATAGAATGCTTACCTCTGGCCTATGCACATTCAAATGTAGGGCTACACACATATGTATGCTAGTTTATAAGTTTAGATTTGTGTCTTACACTGAGTGTTATTTTAATGACAGTGCCAACTTGCCACTTTCTCAGTGGTTCCTTTTAGAAATAGTTTTCAAAACCAAATTTTGAAGCTTTAAAAGAAAATGTTACAAAGTGAGGTCAGGCCCAGGCTTTCATTAATAACCATTTCTAGTATTTCAGATGAGTATGTTCTGCTTTGTACCAGGCATGACTGAGCATCCTATGACTGAGCATTTCTATGAGAGTTTAGATTTGTATGGAATATGAACAGCAATCATGTTTGTGCCCTTTTCCTTTTTCTTTTAAATAATTATTTGTATTTTATGTATATTGGTGTTTTGCCCAATTGTATGTCTGTGTGAGGTTATTGAATCCCCTGGGACAGGAATTACAGACAGTTTTGAGCTGCCATGTGGGTGCTGGGAATATAGCGTGGGTCCTCTGGGAGAGCAGCCAGTGCTCTTAATCACTGGTCCATCTCTCCAGCCCTCCTTTCCTTTTTCTTTCTTAAGGCAAACCCTGCAATTGGCATTTGAAGATGTTTATAGAAAGTGTGTGTGAGTGTGCATTGATGAAAGAGCAGTGGATTCAGAATCAGAAAGAGCGTTTCTAGGTTCCAGAGTTTTACATGTTTTTATTTGTTTTAAATTGATAAATAAAATTGTATTAATCATATGTAACTTGATGTTTGGACATACATTATGACATTACTAACTCTGTGATGGACTGCCTTGCATAGCTAGAATTTTAATGCACTTTAGCTACCAATGTTTCTTTAATTCTAATTGCCAGCTTTCTTTTAAATACAAAATTGAAATGGAAGGTTAGCATTAGACTAGTTATTCCATACTGTCACTGATTATGAACAGAATAACAACTGTTCATAAAGAGATGTTGAAAACAAGTGTGCTTTATTCATAAGCATTGACTTGATACTGTGAACATATCAGAATGCTGGGTTCATAACCAAAAAGCAAGTTTTAAGGTTCTATATTAGTGTTAAATAGCAGAGTTGTAAGTAGAGACAGGATCTGATCTCAGTAGTGCCTTTTCCTAGGCTTCAGGGATTGAAGTAGTTAATGTTTTTCTCTATTTTTTCAGGCTGGTACACACCTCCAAAGGAAGATGGCTAACTGCACTGACATAAGTCTGGACCAATGTTGCTTTAAAGAAAATCGTTCCAACGTGCAGACATAAGCTTTTGAGTGCCCTATAACAGCAGTACCGAAGACATTAGCTAATAGATCATTTAGTGGATAATCTGTCAACTGACATCCAGATACAGCCTTTTCATTTTTCTCACTTTAGGTATCTTGGACTGAACAGTGGGGCCTTTACTGTATTTTTCCTGATAAGTATACACAGTAGCCACTCCCTACCACCTCTTTCTTGAAAAGTGAAATCAAAGCAAGCAGGGAAGTCCACATAAGTTTACTGCAGCTGTGAATTTACAGTTACCTTCCTATATTGAGCCTATGGGGTATGAAGATTTGCAAAATCCTGTTCATTTAGAGCCAATAAAAGTTAACTGATGGTCAATACTGGTTTAGGAATTTTAGGTCTTCTCAACCATAGCATTTTTCAGGTCTGAAATCTTTTTATTGCCAAAATTATGACAGGAAGCCTCTTCATTAAATTGTTAACTTTTTCATGTTTGCGTGAAGGTTTGAACTGTTTCTGGAAGTATGATCTTAGTTGTATTGTATCATATTAGGTAAAGCAAAATGAGCCAGCCATTTGTGAGCAGTAATTTCCACTGGGGTGACAGAGTCCTGCTGGGCTGAACATTACTTGGGAAGAGCCACAGTGTAGAGCCTAGCCTGAAGGTCTAAAATATGAGGTCATTTTACCTTTCCACTTATTAACGGGGTGTTGCAATTGTTGATAAACTAATACACTTGTGAAGTGATTGGCACAAAGACAGATTCCTTGAGCAAAAATATAAAAAATAGCTAAATTGGAGACCCTGAATTTTTTGCTATAGTCATATGGTGGCTTTTACATCAAAAGACCAGTAGGAATTCAGCATATGTTAATTCTTTTATAAAATGTGACACAAATCAATGTATTTTCCATTTTATTGCCTTACCTGAATCAGCCCTCTTTGGTTGGTAATATTTTTTTAATCCAAACTTTGATTTAAATATAAATTCCAGTTATTAAGCACTTTTGAAAAGAAACCCAGAAGCACATTTTCCTGCACAAACCAGTACAAAGTTTGTTTTCTTTTTGTTGTTGTTGTTGTTGTTTTTTAAGACAGGGTTTCTCTGTGTAACAGCTCTGGCTGTCCTGGAATGTGCTTTGTAGACCAGTCTAGCTTGGAACTTACAAAGGAGTGCTGGAATTAAGGCATGTGCCGCCACCACCCAGTTCAAAAGATACACACACACACACACACACACACACACACACATTTGGTTTGAGATTCATTTTTTTTTTTAAACCAAATTCAGGAAACTTGGCACTTGTGCATTTTGTGTGTGTCTTTAATTTCTCATGATTCTATTCCATTGGTTAAGAGGACAGGACAGGTTAAGGTACCTGGTATTCTCACTCATTTGGTTCCCTTTAAATAAGTGATCACCAGTGCTCAGATAACAAGTGACAAGGCAGAATTCTTCAAAGCATCAGAAAGTTCCTTAAGCCTAAGGCAAAATCTTGAATGCATTATTGAATTCTTTAGTATCCTAATGGCTAGCAGAATGACAGCTGCACATTTGGCATGCTTTGTCTTTTGGATTTTATTTTTCATTGCAGATTTATTTGGCAATGTACAGTAAATTTTGTAAACTTGCATCAAGTTTATGAATAAAGAACCATTTAAAAATCGCTTTGTCACCTTTCCCTCGTAAGAAATGCTATGATTCAGGTGTCTTTAGGCTCTATTGAATATCTAGTGTAGGGTATTTAAGAGAAGATGGGTGTGGGAAAGTTTCAGTGTTGGAGATGAAGATTAAGAGAGGTAGGGAACCTAGAATTGGTATGTACATACATAGTGCACACAGTTTTTCTTTAGCCATCCCCCTTATATTCTTTAAATTCAGATACATGTGGGTTTGGTTTTATTGTTGGTGGTTTTGTTTTTTGTTTTTGACTGTCCCACTCTGCAGCTCAGACTGGCTGGCTGGCAACTTGTTGCTCAAGTGCTATTTTAATTAATATTACTAATTTTCTCAGAATACTCCTGGCAGGCTCCCTCTTTTATATTCATGGCCCTTATAAATACACCACTATCAGTATATCTCTTAAGACCCGAGGAAAGAAAATTCTAGGCTCAGTATGTTTGGATAATAATCTTTTTCTCTCCTTGATTGAAATTTCCTATGCCAGTTTCATCTTTGGTTTTAATGTTTTGTGTCGATGCCATCCACCCTACTGCATTAAGAAACAGTGGTCTTCTTTGAAGATCCCCTTAGGTGTGGAAAATCTAAAGCAGTCCTCCTTAAACACACAGGCCTCACTTTTCCCTAGTCTTCATGACAGGTTGCTCTATTTGTAATGAATCCATAGAGTAGTTCGGGGCCAGTAGTCCTGAAAATAGGACTTGAGGATTCTCGGGGACCCTGAAACCTGCTGGGGTTTTATTAACAGTGGGATTTAGGGAGACTGTATGACATCCATGTGTTTGCTATTAAGTAGCCATAAGGTTTCCAGAATAAAGTGGCAGTTTGTTACTGAGGGCAGGGAGCTTTTAAGATTTTTTTTCTCCATTAAGAAGTTGCTAATGTGTTTAGGGTCCTACGTTTTGGGGTTGGGGAGCCTAGATTGTTTTGGGCTTGTGAACCTATTTCAGCTTGCTGGATTGTAGACATGAACCACCACTCCCAAATGAGACCAAAACAAGAAGCAACAGGTCAGTCAGATCAAGTAGCTGGTGAGAAAAGCCCCTCAGTTAGGAAACTGAATTCAGTTGGAATGAAGCTGCATTTACTGTTCCTTTCATTGTGGTTCAGAGTATGTATGTGAACCACCGGAGTGATTGTTAAAACAGACTGTTGGGCTTTGCCCCTGTGATTCAGTAGCCCTTCGATGAAGATCTGGCAAATCATAATACTTCTTTGTGAAATGTCTGTCATAGTTAGGGCCAAAGAATGGCGAGTGTTACTTCAAATGCTTATGAAGGGCTAACGTGTTAACCAGGTTCACCTAATAAATCGAGTGTTTGCAGCCGATTCAGAGGACAGGCTGCAAGGTTACCTTTCCACGAACAGCGCAGGGGTTACAACCCGGCGCACCGCTGTTGCCGTAAGTCCAGCGCCGGAAGCTACCCGCCGGAAGTGATTCGCGCGCTTGCGCTGTGCTCGGGTGGGCGGCGGTGCGCCGGCCACTCGGGTTGTTGTGAGCTTCTGTAGCGTTTCTGGCGGGTAGGCGAGGAATGGAGCTGGTGGGCGGCGGCGGCGGCTCGTCCTTCGCTGACCCTCGAAGTACCTACGTGCTGAGTAACCTCGCGGAGGTGGTGGAGCGTGTGTTCACCTTCCTGCCCGCCAAGGCGCTGCTGCGGGTAGCCGGGTGAGGGAGAATGGGGTGGGAGGAGACTTTTCATCCCTGTGGGTGGCAGGTTTGCCCAGTCCCGGATCCCCGCACGGCTCTACTAGCGCTCGGCCGCGGGAACGGTCCGCCTGGCTGCAACCTTTTATGCTTTTGCGTTCCCCAGAGTGTGCCGACTATGGAGGGAGTGTGTGCGCAGAGTGCTGCGGACCCACCGCAGCGTGACCTGGATCTCCGCGGGCGTGGCGGAGGCCGGCCACCTAGAAGGACATTGCTTGGTCCGCGTGGTAGCAGAGGCGCTTGAGGCAAGTATGGGTGTATGCTTCGATCAGTCATTTGCAGGGTTGGTGGGCCATCTTTGAGAACTTTTTTAAAAATCAAGATTGTGAGACATGCCTTTGCTTTTTCTAATTTAGGGACCTTTGCTCATGGTCTGGACTTTGTAATAAACGTCAGGTTTTGTAAGGGCGTGCTGTGGTTTATTTAGTCATTATTAGATAGTGGGCAATTGAAGTTCACAGGTGTTAACTATTACAACGGCTCTGAAGACCTTTCACGTGTCTCTGTTTTGCAATGAAGGCATTCTTGCCCAGGGCCACACACTAGAAATAGAACTAAAACTTATACCTAAATACTTAAGCCACAGTCCCTTTCTTATTTGCGTCCCTGAATCCGGGAAAGTCGGTATATGGAGAGATGAAGACGATCATAGATCTGGCAGTAAAGCTCCAGCATCTCTCAGTGGCAGGGACTCTCGAGAGGAAATTGCCTATTTGATGGTCAGTTGCTCTTTATACCTTAGTATGTATAATATGCAAACATGAATATTCTATTTAACCACAATATAACCTCCAGATTAGGAAATTATCAGTAATGGATTAATTAGAAGGTTTTTTTGGTTTGTTTTTCGTTTCTTTTTCAACTTAACGCAAGCTGGAAAGAGGAAACCTCGAGTAAGTGCTTTTTATCAGACTGGCCTGTAGACAAGTCTGTAGGGAATTCTCTTGATTAATATTTGATGTGAGAAGGTCCAGCCCACTGTGGGCTGTACCACCTCTGAGAAAACACAGTGAGCAAGCCATGGAAGGCAAGCCAGTGAAGATCACTTCTGTATGACTTCTGCTTCAGTTTCTGCCTCTAGGTTCCTGCCTTGGGTTTTTTTCAGTGAACTATCACCACGGATATGTAAGCCAAATAATCCTTTACTCCCTGTATTGCTTTGGTAATGGTCTTTACCATAGCAACAGAAACTAAACCAAGCGAATACATTACCTAAAAGGGACTATCACTAGTCTAATTGGAGATCATTTTAGCACCAAAATAAAAGCTGATGGTAAAGAATACATCATTCAGTAAGAGACTGAAAACATACTACTCTCTAGTTTTCAGACTCCTGTTGAGATTTTCCCCTGGTACTGTACTACTTGATAGCATAAGGATTCAATTCCCAGTGACTTTTGATTTATTTACTTTCTCCAGCTTGACTTTACCAGCCTCATCACTTAAGAAAATTCAAGGACAGTTTGTAGAACATTTAGAAACTGAGTGTAACTGAGGTCTATTAGATGCCAGCATCTTTCCAGGTGGCCTCTGGTTTTCATTTGTCCCGTTATTTTAAATTACTTGATTCAAGTGGTATTTGCCTTCTGTCCTGTTGGAATTAATAAGTATTTCTGGATAGAACCCTCCCTCTCTTCCCCCCTCTTTCCTTTTCTCCCTCCCTCCCTCTCTCCCTCCCTATCTAAAATGTTTTCACATGCTGTTAGTCTCTTATTCAAAGATACATCAGTTACTATATCTTCTGCTCACACTGTCTTTGGTTTGGCTAGTGAGCTGTCAATGTACTTTCAAAGTCTTTTAGGAATGATCTTTCTATTTTGGTACTAGATGTTTTTAGCTTGTTTTTTCCCTGCTTCATTTGAGCAATTAGTGGTTTCTCTAATAGTCTTGGTTTCTTTTAGTGGAACATGGTATTTAGAATCTAAGGTCTGTATTGTGTGAGTACTCAGGCTGTTGAGTGGTTTGCTACCTCCAGCCCTAATAGGAATATATGTATGTACCTGCATATGCTGCTGTTCTTCGTATTTTCAGGGTATTAGTTGCCCCATATTGAAGTCCACAGATACTAAAGTCCCTTATAAATCGGCATAGCGTTTGTGTTAACTTGTGTAGACCACCCTCACATTTAAATTCAAATCTCTAGATTATTTATATCTAACTTCTCTAAGTAGACTGACTATATTAGCAAATAACAAGAAAAAAGTTTGTACATGCTCAATACAGATGCCCCTCACTCACTTACTTACTTACTTACTTATTTATTTATTGCCATATTTGAATCCTTGAATGAAGAGAGAGATGCAGAGAGGCCATATGTGTGTCTGGAACTATTTTTTCTGTCAGTACATGGAAACTCATGAATTCCTTTATATGCACTCAATCCAAATAAGACAGCGGGAAACCTGGCTCTATCTACAAAAAAGAACACAGATTTTATTTGTGTGTGTGTGTGTGTATAGTCTGTCTGTCTATGTGCTCATGTGTGCAGGTGCCCATGGAAGCCTGAAGAATGCATTGTATCCTCTGGAGTTAACAGTTGGTTGTGGGCTGTATGAGCTCTATCCATTGAAAGATCTCTCCAGCACTTCTCCAGTCCTGGCTCTTTAATGTGGCTGTCCTGAGTGTGGTATCTTCATTCCTATGCTATCTTGTATATGTTTGCTTTTTTGGACTCTTGAACTCATACCCAGAAAGCTTGCCTGTATTCCCAGGCCTGTTGAAGTACTATTTCTCTCTGATATATTGATCAAAACTCTATAGTCTGTTTTTTGTTTTGTTTTGTTTCCAAAATCTGTTATGTGGGAAAGTTCAAAATATTAGCAAAGCCATTTCCACAGAAGTGTTCTTAGGAGTATCATGTACAGCCAGGGAGCTTAAAATAACCTGCTGTTTAGTAAAAGAAGTCATTAAATTATAAATCACAAGGTACATTTAGTGATAAGAAAAATCTTCATAAAGAGGCTGGAGAGATGGTTGCTCTTCCAGAGGACCCCAAGTTCAGTTCCCAGCACCCATATTAGTGGGTCACAATTGCTTGTAATTACAACTGGTTTCTGAGAGCATCCACACATGCATGGCACACACTTGGATATGTATACTAGAAATAAAAATTTTTAATTGTTAGAAAACAAATTATTATATATTTAGTGTAATGTAGATTAATATAAAGGAAGATTCGTAAAGAAGCTAGAATGTTAATGAAATAGGATTTTACTGTGGGGAATAGAATTGTGTGTGCTTTTTTTTTTTTTTTTTTTAAATTTCTGTGGTTGTTTGCAACT